TCTTCCCGCTGTGCCCTGCTTCCCTTCCAGCCCTGGCCCGGGTGGTCTGCTGGCACAGCCAGACTTGGGAGGGTGGTTACGGGGTCTTCCCTGTGCTCTCCCACACCCTCCGCTGGGTATCCTGGCCTGGGCTCCTGGCCCCTGCCCCCTGCCTGTGCCCCCTGCCCCCTGCCTGTGCCCCCTGCCCCCTCCTGTGCCCCCTGCCTGTGCCCCCTGCCCCCTGCCTGTGCCCCCTGCCTGTGCCCCCTGCCTGTGCCCCCTGCCCCCTGCCTGTGCCCCCTGCCTGTGCCCCCTGCCCCCTGCCTGTGCCCCCTGCCCCCTGCCTGTGCTCCCTGTCCTCTGCCCCCTGCCCTCTGTCCTCTGCCCCCTGCCCCTTGTCCCTTGCCCCTTGCCCTGTGCCCCCTGCCCCTGCCTGTGCCTCTAGCCCTCGGCACCCCACCCCGTCCTGCCCCCCCTCAGCAGTGGGAGAGGCTGCCAGGCCTCAGCTTCAGGCTTCAGGGTGCCCCTCCCCAGGACCCGGGTGCCTCCCCTTAGCTGTCCTCCCTGTGGGTGGAGAGGACAGATGGCAGAGGAGAGTTGTGGAGGAAGGGGTGCTTGAGGGACAGGAAACCTGGGTGGGGACGCGGGCCCGCAGGGCGTCCGGCTCATGCAGATGGTGGAGGGCCGCGGGGACTCATGGGGATTGGACAGCCCCACCTCCACGGCCCAGGCCCGCAGAGGAAACACCTGTGTGCCACCTGCATTTCAGGGGGTTACCCAAACACGCCCCACCACGCGGGGCCAGGCCCGGCTCGCTGGCTGCAGCTGCTGTGGTGCACCCGGCGTCTTGGTGAGGGGTGTGACCGTAATTTTTTGTTGCTGTTTTTTGGTTTGTTTTGTTCTGTCAGTCGTGGGGCTTGAACTCAAGGTCTGGGCGCTGTCCCTCAGGGCTTCCGCTCAAGGCGAGTGCTCTACCACTCCAGCCACAGCGCCACTTCTGTTTTTCTGGTGCTTCATTGGAGATGAGTCTCTGGGCCTTTCCTGCAGCCAGCGGGAGGGTTGGAAGTGGAGGCGGTGAGAGGCAGCAAGGCGGGCGCCGCTGCCACCGAGCAGGGTGGGTGTCTGTGTTTGGGAGCCAAGTGTGGACCAGGATTGGCAAAGAGGGCACCTTCCTGCCCAGCTGTGCCCGGAAGGCTCCTGCTCAGGCCGGTCCCCTCCCCCGCCCCTTCTCTGCTTCCCTGGAGCCACACTGCCCCCTGCTGCTCCTGGCTGGAACCTCCGGGCATCTGTGCTCCCGCAGAGCCACGCGCTAGCACACTCCACGTGGCAGGGCTGAAGGGTGGGGTATCACCCAGGGAGCCTGTCCTGGCTGGGCCTCGCTCGGGCTGGTGTCTGGCAGGCTCCTCTGTTCCCATAGGCTCACATCAGGGCCGCCAGGCATGAAAAGCCCTCCTCCAGCTGGCAGAGGCTTGGAACCCTGGAGCAGCCTGGGGATCGTGCCCCAAATCTTATATAGAACCCTAGCTGGCTCCCAGGTTCCAGGAAAACTGGCTCAAGGTCCTCAAGATGCTAGGTCCTGAGCGGCCAGCAGCGCTTTCCCGGGGCAGCGCCTCCTCAGCTAGGGCCCGTCTTCCGTGTTCTTCTGGGTGGTTACTGCTATTATGGTCTGTTTGGTGGCACTGAGGATCGAGCCAAGGACTCCTGGAAAGTTAGGCATACACTCTCCCACTGCACTATTTCCAGCAACCCTCCCTTTATTTTTTATTTTTATTTTTATCTTTGTCAATCGTGGAGCTTGAACTTGGGGCCTGGGTGCTGTCCCTGAGCTTTTCTGTTCAAGGTAGCACTCTACCACTGTGAGCCACAGCACCACTTCCAGTGTTCTGGTGGTTAATTGGAGATAAGAGTCTCACAGGTTTTCCTGCCCAGGCTGGCTGTGAACCACGATCTCAGATCTCAGCCTCCTGCGTAGCTGGGACAGCAGGCGTGAGCCACCACTGCCTGGCTTCCAGCCCCTTTTTATACTTCATTTTGACCGGGGTCTAAGTTGGGCGGGCCAGCCTTGAACTTGTGATTCTCCTGCTTTAGCCTCCCAAGTAGCTGTGGTTACAGACATGCCAGTCCCTACTTTTAAAACAGACTTAACAAATGACTTCTGTGTTTGTGAGGTGACATAGTTTTCTGTATAAACGGGCACCACCCCTCCAAGGGGGGCCCACTTGGTCTCCTGCAGTGAGGCCCCACTGCCACCAGGGGGCAGACGGTAGTTGGAGACGGGACACTCCATCCACCAGCCCTCATTTGGTCAAGGAGAAAGTTAAAAGTTCCTCCAAAACTAGGAGCCCTGGTGGGACCCCCTCCCCCCCGTGCCCCTCCCCCCACCGCCAAGGCAGCTCAGGCAACCCACGGGACCCAGGGGCTCAGAACCCCCCCAGACCCTCAGCAGGGTCCTCCCTGCCTGCCCTGCCCTCGACAGGCCCCCCGGGCACAGGGGCACACCCCAGCAGACACACACCTGCTCCCCCCCCACCTCCCCAGCCCTGACGGCGGTGGTGCTGGACCCTCCCCCCAGACCCTCAGCAGGGTCCTCCCTGCCTGCCCTGGCCTCGACAGGCCCCCCGAGCACAGGGGCACACCCCAGCAGACACACACCTGCTCCCCCCTCCACCTCCCCAGCCCTGACGGCGGTGGTGCTGGACTGTCCACGCTGCCCAGCGTGGCAGTCAGAGACGGAAGCTTGCCATGTGGAAGGATGGTTGGTGTCCCCACATCTCTGGAAAAGAAAACTGGAGGTGACCACCCACTGCCTAAGACGGATCCCTGGACAGGACCTCCACGCATGGAGCCCCACGCTCCCTTCCTATGCCTGTGTCCAGCAAGAGGAAACAGGCCTCAGGAAGAGCATGCTGCCCAGGGCCTGCTCCCCTGGGTCCAGCCTGGGGGCCCGCCCTGCTCCCACTTCCCGGGAGTCTGCCCAGACCCTCCCTGCTCCCAGAACATGGACCATAGAGACCCCTCCAAGGAAGAGCTTGACCTGGTCCTGTCCCGAATGTCTAAAGCAAGTTCAAGGGTGGTTGGAGGTGGGAAGGGGCCCCCAAGCACCGGGGGTGGGGGAGGAGTCCCCCAAGCACCTTTCTGGGCCGGACAAGCAGGGCATTGCTTATCCTACATCTTTATTTCTGAGGCAGAAGCCACAGCCTCAGAGAGCCCTTCCGCAGCTCCTGGGGTCTGTAACGGGAGGCAGGAGTCCCCCGGGGGCAGGGCTCCTTGCCAGCCAGGGCCTCGGGCTGCTGCCGCCCTCCTGCCTGTGTGGGGCCGAGTCCTGCCGGGAAGCAGCCTGGCCTTCCCTCAAGCAGGCCAGGCGCAGATGGTGCCCGCACCTGCCCACCATCTGACAGGAGCAGAGGCGCGGCAGCTCCTGCACGGAGAAGATGGGTCCCCAGGACAGCCCCTGGCAGGGGTGGGGCCCGATGGGGCCTGGCTTGGTCAGCTGTCTGCTCATCGCCTGCCTCTGGGGTCCCGAGCCCAGCGCAGCAGCGAGGGGCCGCCCCCCAGGTCCAGAGGGCCTGACACAGATCGGGGCCACGCGAGGTGGGGACTCGTGAATGGGGGCGAGGCCCCACGGAGAGCGAGCGCTGGAGCTGGGTTCCGGGGGATCCGGAGCCCTGTGGGCGACCGTGGAAGGACCGCGAGTCAAAGAAAGGGGCCCTGGAGGGGGGGCGGTCAGGGGAGGGGGCCAGAGAGACGGATGGGCAGGCCGGCGGGGGAGCAGAGCCCGCACGGGTGGGCGTCCCGGACACAGCGGCCCGCACGGGTGGACGTCCCGGACCCACCGGCCCGCACGGGTGGGCGTCCCGGACACAGCGGCCCGCACGGGTGGACGTCCCGGACACAGCGGCCCGCACGGGTGGACGTCCCGGACACAGCGGCCCGCACGGGTGGGCGTCCCGGACACAGCGGCCCGCACGGGTGGGCGTCCCGGACCCACCGGCCCGCACGGGTGGGCGTCCCGGACACAGCGGCCCGCACGGGTGGGCGTCCCGGACACAGCGGCCCGCACGGGTGGGCGTCCCGGACACAGGGGCCCGCACGGGTGGGCGTCCCGGACACAGGGGCCCGGCCGCACGGGTGGACGTCCCGGACACAGGGGCCCGCACGGGTGGGCGTCCCGGACACAGCGGCCCGCACGGGTGGGCGTCCCGGACACAGGGGCCCGCACGCACGGGTGGGCGTCCCGGACACAGGGGCCGGCTGGCAGGGTTCCTACAGTCAGAGAAACAGGAGTTCGGACGCCTCGGGCTCTTGGGGCGCCCCCACCCCGCAGCCTAAGACCTCCGCACCCACGCCCGCCCCGCCATACGCGGGCTGTCACTCAACCTCGGCCCCGCCTCTCCGCACACGTGCAGTCCCGGCCGGCCTCCGGCGCACTCGCGCTGTCATTCAGCCTCGGCCCCGCCCCGCCCACAGTGCTGTCACTCAGCCTCCGCCCCGCCCCGCCCACAGTGCTGTCACTCAGCCTCGGTCCCGCCCCGTCCACAGTGCTGTCACTCAGCCTCGGTCCCGCCCCGCCCACAGTGCTTGTCACTCAGCCTCGGTCCCGCCCCGCCCACACTGCTGTCACTCAGCCTCGGTCCCGCCTCTCCGCACACGTGCTGTCACTCAGCCTCGGCCCCGCCCCGTCCCGCCCCTCCGCACACGTGCAGCCCCGGCCGGCCTCCGGCGCACTCGCGCTGTCACTCAGCCTCGGCCCCGCCCCTCCCACAGTGCTGTCACTCAGCCTCGGCCCCGCCCCGTCCCGCGCCTCCGCACACGTGCTGTCATTCAGCCTCGGCCCCGCCCCGCCCACAGTGCTGTCACTCAGCCTCGGCCCCGCCCCGCCCCGCCCCTCCGCACACGTGCAGCCCCGGCCGGCCTCCGGCGCACTCGCGCTGTCACTCAGCTCCGCGGGCTCCGCAGGTCCCGAGCGCGCCGCCCGCCCGCTCCCGCCCGCCCGCCCGCTCCCGCCCGCCCGCCGCGCCGCCATGGGCGCCCCTCTGCTCCTCGCCCTCGGGCTGCTCGCCCAGGTAAGCCTCGCGCCCCGCGGCCCTGGCGGCCCCGCTTGCGGCGCCCCGCGCTGGCCGTGCTTCCCCGCGGGTTCCGGGCGCCAGGAACTCGGCCCCGGGACCGGGGTCCCAGCTCCCCCCCCGGGGTTCCCAGCTCCCCCCCCGGGGTTCCCAGCTCCCCCCCCCGGGGTCCCCAGCTCCCCCCACCCGGGGTCCCAGCTCCTCCCCCCGGGGTCCCCAGCTCCCCCCCCGGGGTTCCCAGCTGCCCCCCCGGGGTCCCCAGCTCCCCCCCCCGGGGTTCCCAGCTCCTCCCCCGGGGTCCCCAGCTCCGCCCCCCGGGGTCCCCAGCTCCCCCCCCGGGGTCCCCAGCTCCTCCCCCCCGGGGTCCCCAGCTCCCCCCGGGGTCCCCAGCTCCCCCCCCCCGGGGTTCCCAGCTCCCCCCCCGGGGTCCCCAGCTCCCCCCCGGGGTCCCCAGCTCCCCCCCCCCCGGGGTCCCCAGCTCCCCCCACCTGGGGTCCCCAGCTTCCCTCACCCGGGGCCCCAGCTCCTCCCCCCCGGGGTTCCCAGCTCCCCCCCCCCCCGGGGTCCCCAGCTCCCCCCGGGGTCCCCAGCTCCCCCCCCCGGGGTCCCCAGCTCCCCCCGGGGTCCCCAGCTCCCCCCCACCTCAGGTCCCCAGCTCCCCCCCCCCGGGGTCCCCAGCTCCGCCCCCCGGGGTCCCCAGCTCCCTCCCCCGGGGTCCCCAGCTCCCCCCCGGGGTCCCCAGCTCCTCCCCCCGGGGTCCCCAGCTCCCCCCCCCCCGGGGTCCCCAGCTCCCCCCACCTGGGGTCCCCAGCTTCCCTCACCTGGGGTCCCAGCTCCTCCCCCCCGGGGTCCCCAGCTCCCCCCGGGGTCCCCAGCTCCCCCCCCCCCGGGGTCCCCAGCTCCTCCCCCGGGGTCCCCAGCTCCCTCCCCCCGGGGTCCCCAGCTCCCCCCACCTGGGGTCCCCAGCTTCCCTCACCCGGGGTCCCAGCTCCCCCCCCCCCCGGGGTCCCCAGCTCCCCCCACCTGGGGTCCCCAGCTCCCCCCCCCGGGGTCCCCAGCTCCCCCCCCCGGGGTCCCCAGCTCCTCCCCCCCGGGGTCCCCAGCTCCCCCCCCCCGGGGTCCCCAGCTCCCCCCCACCTCAGGTCCCCAGCTCCCCCCCCCCCGGGGTCCCCAGCTCCCTCCCCCGGGGTCCCCAGCTCCCTCCCCCGGGGTCCCCAGCTCCCCTCCGTCCCCTGCATCCAGCCTTCTGCACAGGGGTGTGGGACGGGGCGGTCGACGCCGGGACCCCCACGCGCACGGGCTTGCGTGCCTGCGGTCCAGGTGAGCCCACGAGGCGGCCGGGCCGGCCTCCGCCTCTTACACTAGCCAGGCAGTGAACGCACTGGCCCGTGTGGTGACCCTGCCCGGTCGCTGCGTGCCCCGGGGCGGTGGGCAGGGCTGGAGTATGTGGGGTGCCCTGGGCGGTGGGCAGGGCTGGAGCACTGGGGTGCCCCGGGGCGTTGGGCAGGGCTGGAGCATGTGGGGTGCCCTGGGCGGTGGGCAGGGCTGGAGCACTGGGGTGCCCTGGGCGGTGGGCAGGGCTGGAGCACTGGGGTGCCCCGGGGCGGTGGGCAGGGCTGGAGCATGTGGGGTGCCCTGGGCGGTGGGCAGGGCTGGAGTATGTGGGGTGCTCCTGGGCGGTGGGCAGGGCTGGAGCACTGGGGTGCCCTGGGCGGTGGGCAGGGCTGGAGCACTGGGGTGCCCGGGGCGGTGGGCAGGGCTGGAGCATGTGGGGTGCCCTGGGCGGTGGGCAGGGCTGGAGCACTGGGGTGCCCTGGGCGGTGGGCAGGGCTGGAGCACTGGGGTGCCCCGGGGCAGTGGGCAGGGCTGGAGCATGTGGGGTGCCCTGGGCAGTGGGCAGGGCTGGAGTATGTGGGGTGCTCCTGGGCGGTGGGCAGGGCTGGAGCATGTGGGGTGCCCTGGGCGGTGGGCAGGGCTGGAGCACTGGGGTGCCCTGGGCGGTGGGCAGGGCTGGAGCACTGGGGTGCCCTGGGCGGTGGGCAGGGCTGGAGCACTGGGGTGCCCTGGGCGGTGGGCAGGGCTGGAGCACTGGGGTGCCCTGGGCGGTGGGCAGGGCTGGAGCACTGGGGTGCCCTGGGCGGTGGGCAGGGCTGGAGCACTGGGGTGCCCTGGGCGGTGGGCAGGGCTGGAGCACTGGGGTGCCCTGGGCGGTGGGCAGGGCTGGAGTATGTGGGGTGCCCTGGGCGGTGGGCAGGGCTGGAGCACTGGGGTGCCCTGGGCGGTGGGCAGGGCTGGAGCACTGGGGTGCCCCTGGGCAGTTGGGCAGGGCTGGAGTATGTGGGGTGCCCTGGGCGGTGGGCAGGGCTGGAGCATGTGGGGTGCCCTGGGCGGTGGGCAGGGCTGGAGCATGTGGGGTGCCCTGGGCGGTGGGCAGGGCTGGAGCATGTGGGGTGCCCTGGGCGGTGGGCAGGGCTGGAGCACTGGGGTGCCCTGGGCGATGGGCAGGGCTGGAGCACTGGGGTGCCCTGGGCGATGGGCAGGGCTGGAGCATGTGGGGTGCCCTGGGCGGTGGGCAGGGCTGGAGCACTGGGGTGCCCTGGGCGATGGGCAGGGCTGGAGCATGTGGGGTGCCCTGGGCGGTGGGCAGGGCTGGAGCACTGGGGTGCCCTTGGGCGGTCGGGCAGGGCTGGAGCACTGGGGTGCCCTGGGCGGTGGGCAGGGCTGGAGCATGTGGGGTGCCCTGGGCGGTGGGCAGGGCTGGAGCACTGGGGTGCCCTGGGCGGTGGGCAGGGCTGGAGCATGTGGGGTGCCCTGGGCGGTGGGCAGGGCTGGAGCATGTGGGGTGCCCTGGGTGGTGGGCAGGGCTGGAGCACTGGGGTGCCCCTGGGCGGTGGGCAGGGCTGGAGCACTGGGGTGCCCTGGGCGGTCGGGCAGGGCTGGAGCATGTGGGGTGCCCTGGGCGGTGGGCAGAGATGGAGTATGTGGGGTACCCCTGGGCGGTGGGCAGGGCTGGAGCATTCAGTCCCTTCCCAGCACTCACCAGTATTTTCCTGGTTCCCTGAACGCCCACCAATCTCCTGCAGCTCTGGCTGGCAGGCTCAGGTTTCCGTCCCTGGCAGCAGCAGGCCCTGGCCAGCCTGACCCCAGAGCAGCTGCCGCTTCCTCCCCGGCTTCGTGCCTCATCCCCCACCGTGTGGAGACAGCGGGGCCACACAGCCAGGCTGCCCAAGGCTGCCCTCCTACAGCCATGCATGGACACCCCAACCCCAGCGGGCCAGCACTCCGCACCTCAGCCAGGATGGCATTCCTTGTCAACACTTGTCAGACGTTCATGGAGGATGCCCTCCTCTGGGTGTGGGCCCTCTGTGGGGTGTGTGGGGCCAGATAGGACTCCTCTTCCCCCTCCCGACAGGCAACCGGAGGCCCAGGAGTCAGATTGAGGTGGACAGGCCACCACTGGAGGGGACAGGCCATCAGAGCTTGCTGCACAGCAGCCAGGCTGACTGTAGGGGAGGCGGAGGGGAGTGTCTCCTGGACCCAGCAAAACACACACATCAGTACCCCTCCCCCTTCCACCATGTCCAACTTGAAGGCTTGGTCCACTCTTACCTGCGCTTCTGCTCCCCCCTTCCACCATGTCCAACTTGAAGGCTTGGCCCACTCTTACCTGCCCTTCTGCTCCCCCCTTGCACCTTCCTGGGCTCTCTTGGGTGGGCCCTAGCTGTGGGGTGGAGGGGCTTCTGCACAGACTCTCGCTTTGCTACTTTTCCCCTCCTGAGGCCCCGTGAGTCTCCAAAGTAGCTTCAGGGTGCCAACACCCGTCTACCCACCTCTTGTCGCTGGTCTTCCACCCAGCTCCCTGGCCCCACTGGAGGCAGGGCAGGGGTGGGTGCAACGGTGATTTGAGACCAGAACCACTTCCCTGTGGCTGGGAACTGGGAGCTACGTGGTCTCTGGAGGGGAGAGGCCTTGGAAGCACCTCTGGGTCTTGGCCAGTAAGGCCTATGGAGCCTGGAAGAAGCCTTCTAGCAGCAGGCCTCCATCTGTCTGGGGGCAGGTAGGACAGATGGGCGGGAACAGCTGCCTGTCCACCCCTGCTCACCCTCTTTGATGGCTGCAGCAGCTGGGGAGGGTGGTCCTGGAGGGGAATGTGGGGGTCACCCTGGGCCCAGCCAACAGCTGGCCATTCCGGGCGTTCTGGCAGTGCAGGAACGAGTGACTGAATTCCAGCCGGGGGGAGGGACTCCGGCCTGAGACAGCTGCAGGGAGTCTGCGAGGGGCTCTGGGCCCCTTCCTCCGTGTACCCCACACACCGGCTCCCACGAGCCACCTTCCTAGAACCCAGGAAGACCAGCCCTGGCGCATGTTCCCCATGCCCGCACTGCATGGTTTGGCCCTGCTGTGCCTGGTGGAAGGAGAAATGCTCCTCTGCGCTTTGTGCATCAAGAACACTGGCGCAGGCTGGCCTGCCTCACCCCTGCCCCACCCGTGTTGTTACCTGCTGCACCACGGGGGCCCACGGCAGACTGCAGGCCCTCACAGAGCTGCCTGCTCTGCCCACTGCGAATCTGGTTCTCAGCCAGGATCCTCAGTACTGCCAGCACCTCTGCTGGGCTGTGGCTGCTCACCTACTGGGCATGGTCAGTAGTGTTCCCATTCAGTGTGTGCAGGGGATCCCTCACTGCGGGGGCTCAGTGTGGACGGGATCCCTCACTGCGGGGGCTCAGTATGGACGGGATCCCTCATTCCCCAGGGCTCAGTGTGGATGGGATCCCTCCTTTCCCCAGTGCAGGGCAGGAGCTCTGTCTCCTGCAGTTCCTTAGGGTTAGATGCCAGGGTTGACCAACCTCAGGAGTGTGGGTCTACAATGGGGCTTCCAGACTCTGAAGCTGCTTGGCTAGGGTAAGATCAGGCGCCTACTCTGGAAAGAGCATCTAGGAGGTCCCTTGATCTGGTTTGGCCAGGCGGGGGCTGAGGAGGGGCAAACTCTACCCCCAGGTGCGTTGCCCTTGTCCTTGGTCCTCAGCATGGCGTTTCTGTGAGCTGTCTGTGTCCACGTGGCGTTGTCCAGGCACCAGATGGCTTGATCCTCCCAATGAGGCTCTGGGCCTTTCCCCAGGAGGCCACGTCCTTGGAGGAGGGGGTGGGGCAGGGGAACAATGTCCACAGCTAGAAGCTGGCTGGGGCCTGCTGCCAGGTGCCCACCCATCCCCTCTGTGCCCTCTGGTCCAGGCCAGGCTCCCTGCCGGGCCCTGACCTCATGAACTTGGGCTGTGGACAGGCTGTGGACCCAGGATTCCCAGGCTCTGCCTTGACCGCACCCAGCTGCTGCTGACCGTGGGCGTGCAGCTGCCGCAGCTGGCAGAGGGGTGTGGGCTGAGCTGCCGTGGGGCAGCTGGACAGGGTGGCAGGGCTGCAACCCAGTCTCCTTTGCCACAGGCACGTCACAGAGCCAGGAGCCTCCCCTTGCTCCATCAGGTCTGGCCTGAGACTGTCGCTGTGAGGATTTCTACAGGGCAACATTTTCTTCCTCTGAGCTGAGGTTTAAGATTCAGGCCTGTGTGGCTTGGGGCAGACAATTCAGCCTCTCTGGACCTCACTCTCAGAACTGTGAGAGAGAGGCTCGCTCTAGTCCCCTCGGGACCCAGTGGGTGAGGCAGAGAAGGGTGCGTTCCAGGGCCCAGCTCTTTGCTGCCCAGCACTTGAGAAACAGCTCCCGGGTCTCTGGGGTGGTGCCAGGCCCCGGCAGGGCAGGCGGATTTGTGTTTGGCAGGAAGCTGCCCTCTGCTTGGCGGTGCTTGGTGCGTTGGCAGCCCAGGGCCGCGCTGCCATCTGTCAGGACAGGTCTGGGGCCTCTCCTGGTCCCATCCTGCCCTCCCTCTGTGGAAAGGGTCTGCTTCTGTCTGGTCTCCAGGGATGGTGGCCGGGGGTGGCAGTCATGGCAGAGGAGGGCTGGGGTCTTGCCCAGGCCCAGTGTCCCCAGAGGCAGCTGCTCCAGTTAGACTTTGTCTGCCATTTGTCATCCTGCTAGCAAAGTGCACCAGGACCTGTGTGTGCCACCTGCCAGGGCACAGGACACCGCGGAGAGCCGGGGTGGGGGTGGGGTTGTGCTCAGCTGATTCCCACCCTGGGCCTCTGCCAGGCGCAGGAGAAACTGTGGAAGGGTGGGGAGGCCTCCCTCCCAGACACCCCTCAAGCCACTCTCACCAGAGACCACCAGCCCCCACCCGTGGCTTGGCCTTCCACAGCCTGTGGTCCTGGCCAAAGGCTGGAGACCCCGCGCCCACAGCTAGAATAGAGCTCCCAGGGACTGGAGGTCCAGGCCGCCTGGCCCAGCCCCCATGCAGCCCCGTGCGTCCACATTCCAGGGGGAAGCTGGGGTCCTCATCATGGGGAGCCCACCCCTCACCAGGGCCCCTCGCTGCCTCCCTCCACGAGTAGTGGGAGTCCCTAAGCGCAGACTCTGGGGGGAGCTACATCTTGGCCTGTGGTGGGCCAAGTCTCTGCTAGGCACCAATGTGGCTCAGGTAGAAAGTCCCAGGAGCCCCCAGACTCCAGCCCAGCTGCCATCCTGGGAAAAGAAGTTGGAGGCCAGGTGCCGTCGGGCTCACGCCTGTAATCTTGGATACTCAGCTACTTAGCCTGAGTAGCTAAGGATCAAGGTTTGAAGCCAGCTTGTACAGGAACTCTGTGAGACTACATGAACCACAAAAAGCCAGACACGGAGCTGTGGCTCAAATGGTAAAACACTAGCCTTGAGCAAAAAAGCTCAAGGACAGAGCCCAGGTCCTGGCCAAGAAGAAGTTGGAGGCCATGCTTCCCTGTGCAAAGCCCAGCACTGTTGAGAGACAAGGAGCTGTGTCTGGGGCTGGGACCCAGGGCTGCGATTAGTGCACTCACGTCCAAGGTGCCTCTGCCCTCGCTCCTGCTCCATCCTGCGGCCCTTAGCATTCCCCTGCTCCTTGGCTGGATCCTTCCCCTCAGCCTCCGTTTTCCCCTTGAAGGGATGGGGCCAGCTGTCAGCAGAAACAGAAGCCGGCAGGGAGCCTGCGGGGGGGGAGGGGGGGGTTCCCCCACATGTGTGCCCTCCACCCTGGAGAGTGGGACCTGGCTTTGTCCCCCTCCTGCAGCCCACAGCCTGGGTTCTGGGGGCTCTTGGGGTGTGGCAAGGGGAGAGGCGTGTGCTCCAAAGGTCATGGATTCCAGGAAGTAGTTGTGGGCACCACGGGGGCGGGTCCCCTTCTGGGGAAAAGCAGTGTACTCTGAGTAGGTTGTGCTGTGCCCCAGTCCCCCCCCCCCCACGGCCCCGGCCTGGGCCCAGGGCAGGGGATGTGTCTTGCCTCCCCAATTGCCCTCCGCTAGCTTGCCACGCCGCTGGCCTGGCCGTCCTGCAGTGCTGCTGCACCCTTGACCGGCCGGGAATCTGGCACTTCCCAGCTCACCTGGGCTGGGTAGGTGGCTCAGTGGTAGAGCGCTTGCCTTGCATGCAGGAGGCCCTGGGTTCGATTCCTCAGCACCACATAAGCAAAAAGAAAAAAGCCGGAAGTGGCGCTGTGGCTCAAGTGGTAGAGCGCTAGCCTTGAGCACAGAGGCTCGGGGACAGCGCCCAGGCCCTGAGTTCAAGCCCCAGGACCAACCAAAAAGAAAAAAGAAAAAGAAAGGAACCAGCAGGCCTGGTCTCCAGCACCTATCCCGGCGGGGGCGTTTGGAATGGCCGCCTCGGGCCCCTTGGCGGCGGGGAGAGTGGACACTCAGCTGGCTCCATTTGGCCAGAGGCCTGGGTGCGGAGGGCGCGGGGCCTCCTCTCAGAGCAGCACTGCCTGGGCCAGCCCGACCCGCAGAAACCCAGCGGGGAGAAACCAGCAGGCCGCTTCCCGCTCCTGCCCCTCCCCGCGCCCCCCTCCCCGCGACCCCCGTCCCCGCGGCCCTCCTCCCCGGGACCCTCCTCCTCCTCCCCGCGCTCCTCCTCCCCTCACCCCCCTCCCCGCGCCCCCCCTCCCCCCTCCCCGCGCCCCCCCTCCCCGGGACCCTCCTCCTCCTCCCCGCGCTCCTCCTCCCCTCACCCCCCTCCCCGCGCCCCCCCTCCCCGGGACCCTCCTCCTCCCCGCACCCCCCCTCCCCTCATCCCCCTCCCCGCGCCCCCCCTCCCCGGGACCCTCCTCCTCCTCCCCGCGCCCCTCCTCCCCCTCCCCGCGCCCCTCCTCCCCGGGACCCTCCTCCTCCTCCCCGCGCCCCCCCTCCCCCTCCCCGCGCCCCTTCTCCCCGGGACCCTCCTCCTCCTCCCCGCGCCCCCCCTCCCCGCGCCCCTTCTCCCCGGGACCCTCCTCCTCCTCCCCGCGCCCCCCCTCCCCGCGCCGCCCTGCCCGGCACGCCGGCCCACACCGCGCCCGTCTTGGTTGCAGAGCCTCAGTCTGTCCTCAGCGGGCCCCCGGCTGCAGCCCGGCGTCCTGTACCCCTGGCGCCGCGCGTCGGCGCCGGGCCGCGTGCGGAGAGCCTGGGTCATCCCGCCCATCAGCGTGTCTGAGAACCACAAGCGCCTTCCCTACGCCCTGGTGCAGGTGCGGCGGGGCGGGGCGGGGCTGAAGGGGCGGGGGCGGAGCTGGATGGAGGGCGGGGCGGGGCTGGAAGGGGCGGGGCGGGGCTGAAGGGGCGGAGGCGGAGCTGGATGGAGGGCGGGGTGGGGCTGAGTGGGGGCGGAGTAGAGCTGGATTTGAAGGGGCAGGGCTGAGTGGGGGCGGGGCCGAGCTGGAAGGGGCGGGGCTGGATGGGGCGGGGCGGGGCTGGATGGGGTGGGGCGGGGCTGAGTGGGGGCGGGGCTGGATGGGGCGGGGCGGGGCGGAGCTGAATGGGGGCGGGCCTGGATGGGGCGGGGCTGGGCAGGGGGGCAAGGGGGCAGGGCAGGGGGCAGGGCAGGGGCAGGGCAGGGAGCAGATGGGGCAGGGCAGGGGGCAGGGCAGGGGGCAGGGCAGGGAGGCAGGGCAGGGGGCAGGGCAGGGGGCAGGGCAGGGGGCAGTGCAGGGGGCAGGGGGCAGGGCAGGGGGTAGGGGGCAGGGCAGGGGAGCAGGGCAGGGGGCAGGGCAGGGAGGCAGGGCAGGGGCCAGGGCAGGGGGCAGGGCAGGGGGCAGGAGGCAGGGCAGGGGGCAGGGCAGGGGAGCAGTGCAGGGAGGCAGGGCAGGGGGCAGTGCAGGGGGCAGGGCAGGGGGCAGGGCAGGGGGCTGGGGCAGGGGGGCAGGGCAGGGGGCAGGGCAGGGGGCAGGGCAGGGGGCAGGGCAGGGGGCTGGGGCAGGGGGGCAGGGCAGGGGGCAGGGCAGGGGAGCAGTGCAGGGAGGCAGGGCAGGGGGCAGGGCAGGGGGCAGTGCAGGGGGCAGGGCAGGGGGCAGGGCAGGGGGCAGGGCAGGGGCAGGGCAGGGGAGCAGTGCAGGGAGGCAGGGCAGGGGGCAGGGCAGGGCAGGGGAGCAGGGAAGGGCCAGGGCAGGGGGGCGGGGCAGGGCAGGGGGCAGTGCAGGGGGCAGGGCAGGGGGCAGGGCAGGGGGCAGGGCAGGGGCAGGGCAGGGGAGCAGTGCAGGGAGGCAGGGCAGGGGGCAGGGCAGGGGGCAGTGCAGGGGGCAGTGCAGGGGGCAGGGCAGGGGGCAGTGCAGGGGGCAGTGCAGGGAGGCAGGGCAGGGGGCAGTGCAGGGGGCAGGGCAGGGGGCAGGGCAGGGGGCAGGGCAGGGGGCAGGGCAGGGGGGCAGGGGGCAGGTCAAGGGGCAGGGGTCAGGTCAAGGGGCAGGGCGCCCCGCCCCGCGCCGCCCATCCAGGCTCCCCCCTCCCCGCAGATCAAGTCGGACAAGCAGCAGCCGGGCAGCGTCATCTACAGCATCCAGGGCCCCGGCGTGGACGAGGAGCCCCGCGGCCTCTTCTCCATAGACAAGTTCACCGGGAAGGTGTTCCTCAACGCCATGCTGGACCGCGAGACCACGGACCGCTTCCGGGTGGGCCCCCGGCCCCCGGCCGAGATGGGCATCATGGCGCTTTCCTTTTTCCCGGTCGCTGTGGTGGGTCTTGAACTCGGGGCCTGGCGCGGTCCCTGAGATCAAGCGCCGCTTGCGGCCTTCTGGGGCTCCGTGGAGGTCAGTCTCGCGGGCTTTCCTGCCCGCGCCGGCTTTGAACCGGGCTGACCAGGCCTCGGGCCGCTGGCCCAGCCCAGCTCTCCAGTCTTTGGTTGGAGAGGTCTGGGCAGCGTCGCCTGACCGCCCGTCCCCGGACCTTGCGCCCCTCCCCCTGCTCAGCAGGCGGCCCTGGCGCTGGAGCTCAGGCCCTTGCCGGCCGGCAGTGTCCTCCACTGCGTTAGAGGTTGGAGGGAGGGCGCTGGGAGGCCGGCGCGGGGAGACCCAGCGCTCAGGCTCAGAAGCCATAGCAGCCCGGGAACGGGGAGCCGCTCCCGGCAGCCCGCCTCGTCCTCCCCGCTCCTCCCCGCTCCCAGCACTAGGTGCCGCCGCCAGCCTCGTGCTTCTGTTCGGACAGCTAAGGGCCTTTGCCCTAGACCTGGGCGGGTCCACCCTGGAGGACCCCACGGACCTGGAGATCGTGGTGGTGGATCAGAACGACAACCGGCCGGCTTTCCTGCAGGAGGTCTTCCTGGGCCGTGTGCTGGAGGGGGCGGCCCCAGGTGAGGCCCCGCCCCCGGGGCAGGGGCGGTCCCAGTGAGGCCCCACCCCAGAGAGGGGCGGTCCCCGGCGAGGCCCCGCCCTGGGGAGGGAGTGGTCCCAGGTGAGGCCCCGCCCCGAGGAGGAGGCAGCCCCAGGCGAGGCCCTGCCCCGGGGAGGGAGTGGCCCCAGGCGAGGCCCCGCCCCGGGGAGGGAGTGGTCTCAGGTGAGGCCCGCCCCAGAGAGGGAGTGGTCCCCAGCCAGGCCCCGCCCTGTGGAGTGGGCGGTCCCTGGCTAGGCCCCACCTAGGGCGGGGCGGTCCCAGGTGAGACCCCGCCCCGGGGGATTCCTTGGTGTCCTCACCAGGGCCTTTCCGTGGCCTGGGAGCCTCCTCCCTCCCTCTGCCGCTTAGCTGTGGGCCAGGCCGAGCAGCAGGGAGGCTCAGGCCCCTCCGGCCGTGCCTGGAGCTGAGGCCCCAGGCCAAGCCCCACAGGGCGGGCAGGGATTGAGAGCAGAAGCCCCTTTTTCGTTGTGTGCACAAGGCCGCCACCGGTCGGGACTCGAACTCGGGGCCTGGACTCTGTGCTTACCACTTGGCCTTCAGCCTGGCTTTTTTGTGTTTTTGCGGTCGTGGGGCTTGAACTCTGGGCCTGGGCCCTGTCCCTGCGCTCTTCAGCTCCAGGCGGGTGCTCTGCGCTTGAGCCACAGCGCCACGCCAGTTTTCTGGTGGATCATTAGAGAGCAGAGTCTCACGGACTTTCCTTCCTGGGCTGGATTTGAACTGTGATCCTCAGATCTCAACCTTCTGAGTAGCTAGGATGACAGGCGTGAGCCACCGGCACCAGGCTAGCCTGGCTTTTTGCTGGTTATTTCAGAGTTGGAATCTCTCAGCCTCTTGGGCCTGAGTTGTATTCAAACCACAATCCTCCAGCTCTCAAGCCTCCTGGCTAAGATTATAGGCGAGTCACCGGCACCCAGTGAGGGCAGGAAAATCCGGAGGGCAGTTTGGGATTGCTAGCCAGCTCCCACAGGACAAACACCTGCTGAGCGCAGAGTGCTCTTAGTCTGACGCTGTGCCACAAGTTACCAGGTCATTAGCTCTGTCTGCACAGATGCTGAACCCTGGCAGGGGTGGGCTGGTGATGGACGCTCACACCGCTTGGCCAACACGTGGCATCATAGAGAGGAAGCCAAAACCAGTCACTGCCCGGGAGGCCCGGGAGGCGGGTCCTTCACGGTCATGTGCCTCAGTTAAGGGGCAGTGGCGGGTCAGGCCAGTCTCCTCTGAGAGAAAGCGGTGGGGGGTGAGCCCTTACCACTCAGCTGCGCCCCTCCCACTGCAGTGCCCACTCCGCCTCCACAGGTACCTTCGTGGCCAGAGCAGAAGCCACAGACGCAGACGACCCTGAGACAGACAACGCGGCGCTCCGGTTTTCCATCCTGCAGCAGGGTGGCGCCGAGCTCTTCAGCATCCACGAGCACACGGGAGAGATCCGCACCGTGCAAGTGGGGCTGGACCGCGAGGTGAGGATGCCCGGGTGCCGGGGTCCCTCTCTGCAGCCTCTGCACCCCACGCTGGTGCTCCTGCCTGTCCCGTTGGCCCCTCTGTTCCCAGATGGCCCGCGCTGGGCTTCTCTCCCGCACAGGGCAGAGCCTCTGCCCGGCGTGCTGCCAGACGGCCTCGGCCCGGCCCTGGTGCAGTCTGAGCGACCCATCCACACACAGAGGTGGCAGCAGGGCTGAGTGGTGAGGCCTCAGCACAGCACCGGGCCTCACGCTCTGTGGTGTCCTGTCCCATTGTCACTGCCCTGCTATGACACACACACCCCCAGCCACGTCCTCATGCACACGGGCCTCACGCTCTGTGGTGTCCTGTCCCATTGTCGCTGCCCTGCTATGACACACACACCCCCAGCCACGTCCTCATGCACACGGGCCTCACGCTCTGTGGTGTCCTGTCCCATTGTCACTGCCCTGCTATGACAGACACCCCCCCCCAGCCACATCCTCATGCACACGGGCCTCACGCTCTGTGGTGTCCTGTCCCATTGTCACTGCCTTGCTATGACAGACACTCCCCCCCAGCCACGTCCTCATGCACACGGGCCTCACGCTCTGTGGTGTCCTGTCCCATTGTCACTGCCCTGCTATGACAGACACCCCCCCCCCAACCACGTCCTCATGCACACGGGCGCCCCTCAGGAGAGAGCAAGGCCCTACCGCATCCTGGTCCACGCTGCTCCGTCCCCTTGCTGGGGCCACCCCCCACACATCCAGACCTCTATACTGCCGACGATGCACGCAGAGCCTCCCTCGCAGGCCTTGCCACTGAACAAGCCCTCTAGGGCAGCCCCTTGCTGGCGCATCTCAGGCCCAGCATGTCCCCATACAACCGACTTCTCGTCCATCCACGGGTGGGGCAGAGGCTGGGGGAGCCCACGCCACCAAACCCTCCTGTCTGGGGTGCCTAAAGCCACTTGGGCTTTCTGGCACCGTGAGGTCCCCCAGCGGCCGGCTGGCCTGGCCCTTTCTCCCACTGGGGACTCAGTCTCCTGAGTTCACGTCACCACACCGCCAGGTGGTCGCTGTGTATAACCTGACGCTGCAGGTGGCAGACATGTCTGGGGAAGGCCTTACTGCCACAGCCTCGGCCATCATCTCCCTGGACGACGTCAACGACAACGCCCCGGAGTTCACCAGGGAGGAGGTACCCCTCCACAGCCTGCCTGACCCAGCCTAGGCTGCCTTCTGCCCAGGGCTCAGACACAGGTCCGAGGGGAAGCAGCCTGTGGGACGCTGGGCAGGCCCTTGACGTGGGAGTACACACGGCCCAGACCCACGGGACAGGCTGTGGGACGCTCCCTGGCAGGCACGGTGGGGCTGCAGGGGGGAGGGGAGCCTGTGGCTGTGTCCTGAGGAGCTGTAGGGGGGAGGGGAAGGAGGGGGAGCCTGTGGCTGTGTCCTGAGGAGCTGTAGGGGGGGGAAGGAGGGGGAGCCTGTGGCTGTGTCCTGAGCAGCCGCCCGCCCTCCCCAACCCATGGGTAACTGCTCCCCAGTTCTTCATGGAGGCCCCAGAGGCTGTGGGCGGCGTGGATGTGGGCCGGCTCCAAGTGGAAGACAGCGACCTGCCCGGCTCCCCGAACTGGATGGCCAGGTTCACCATCCTGGAAGGCGACCCTGACGGGCAGTTTGCAGTGCGCACAGACCCCAAGACCAACGAGGGTGTGCTGTCCTTGGCGAAGGTGAGCCTCTGGGATTCAGGTGGGAGGTGGCTCTGCCCGCCCGTGCGCTGGGGCCTCGTGCCCTGGGAGAGGCGGCAGGATGCTGGACAGAAGTCCATAGCACGGCTGTCTGTCCGCATCCTGTGCTGGGAACTCCCCCTCCACACACACACAATTGAGAGGTAAAGAAGCAGCTCTCAGGAGGCTGAGGCAGGAGAACAGCAGAGTTGTGACCAGCCTGAGCTAGAGACAGATCCTATTTCAGCAACAACAACAAAAAGCACAGCTACACACTGTGCAGTCTCTGTTGCATCTGACGGGCCCAGAGGGACACACACACATATATATACACATGTGTATATATATGTACATATGTACACGTACATGCAAATAAATACACGTATATAGACACTTAGCTATTCCTTGCTGCTTCACAGTGGCCCTGCCTGTAATCCCAAACACTCAGGTGACAGAGATTGCGAGGATTATGGTTTGAGACCAGCCCAGAGACAAAGTTAGGAAGAGCCAGGCACTGGTGACTCACGCTACTCAGGAGGCTGAGATCTGAGGAGTGCAGTTTGAAGCCAGCCCTGTCAGGAAAGTCCATGAGACTCCTGGCTCCAATAAACCAGAAAAATGGCAGAGCCACTGTGGCTCAGAGTGGTAGAGCACTAGCCTTGAGCAAGAATAGCTCGGGGACAGCGCCCAGGCCCTGAGTTCAAGCCCCACAACTGAAAAAGAAGTTAGGAAGACCTCAACTCAACAAACAAGTTGAGCATGGTAGTTCTTCACTACTGTACTCTAGATACACAGAAAAAGGTCCTAGGAGCATGGCTCATGGAGGTGACTGCTGAGGAAAGCCAAGGCTGGGGGGTGGGGTGGGGTGGAGGAGGGGTTGTTGCAAGACACCGGCTCATGTGATGTTGGAGCGCGTGGGAAGCTCGCTCTTGAGGTAGATGTTCCTGCTCGCTGCTCTGGGAGCCCTGGCCTGCGTGAGGTTGCGCTCCAGGCAAGCCCGGTGGCCCAGTAGCCCGGCCCGGTTGAGCTCAGTTGCACAGAGCAGTGGAACCCGGCACGGAGGCACCACAGCCGACACTCATTTTGGACATGGGTCTTCGTTTTGTTATTTTCTCATTGTTCTTTGGGCCTTTTCCTCCTGTTTTTTGTTTTGTTTTGTTTTGTTTTTATTGGCTGTAGGAGCCAGGCTCTAGGGGTCACACCTATAATCCTAACTACTCAGGAGACCGAGATCTAAGAGGATCCAAGTTCAAAGCCAGCTAGGGTGGACAAATCCATGAGACTCTTGTCTCCAGTTAACCAGTGAGGTTAGGCTGGAGGTGAGGCTCAAGTGGGAGGCCCTGAGTGGAAAGCCGGGCGAGAGTGTCTGCGGGATGGCACTGCCACACACCAGGGAGAGCCAGGAGGGAAAGAGCCTTCTCCACAGGCCTGGGACCCCAGCTCTGAGCCCGCCCCTCCTGCCCCTCCTCCCTCAGCCCCTTGACTTCGAGAGCCGCGTGCGCCACGAGCTCACGGTGTCTGTGCAGAATGAGGCCCCGCTGCAGGCGGCTGCGCCCCGGGCCCAGCGGGGCCAGGCCAGGGTCAGCGTGTGGGTGCAGGATGCCAACGAGGCCCCAGTGTTCCCGGAGAACCCACTGCGGACCAGCCTGGCTGAGGGGGCCCCACCAGGAACCCTTGTGACCACCTTCTCTGCCCACGACCCGGACACACAACAGCCGCAGAGAGTCAGGTGGGACTCGGGGATCCCGGGTGAGGCAGAGGGCAATCACAGCCCCTCCTTGCCCCTGGCCTCTGGGGGTGGAGGGAAGAAGCCATCGGTCTGTATCCTGAGGGCCTCAGACCCTTAAGCCCCAAGAACTTTGTGTTGATGTTGAGTGTGTCATCCCAAACTCGGGGCTGAGCTCCGTCCCGGCGATGTCTGACCGCAGCAGTGGGGGTCTGTGGCCGCTGCTGCGCAGGGCGCAGTGTGTCCGCCCCGGCCCGGCACTGGGCAGAGCTGAATCCAGGCTATCCCTTAGTTGCAACGAGACCCTGGATCTGGGCTTTCTCTTCTGTGGTTGGGACAGAAAATGCAGCTGGGCTGGGAGGAGTTAATCATACGAGCCCCGTGTAAAATGTGTGCACATGGAGTGAAATGTGTGTGTATGCGTGTGTGTACTTGTGCATGCCTCTCTGTGACCTCGCTTCTAAGAGTCCCAGGTGGGTCAAACTCCCCCTCCACTCCTCCCCCTTTCCCCTCCCCCACAGCTACTCCAAGGACTATGACCCCGAGGACTGGCTGCAGGTGGAAGGGGCCACTGGCCGCGTCCGGACACAACGGGTGCTGAGCCCAGCCTCACCCTTCCTCAAGGGCGGCTGGTACAGAGCCATTATCCTGGCCGTGGATGATGGTGAGGGCAGCTGTGTGGGCCGCCTGGGGCTCCGTCTGCCCTCATGGGGCATCTCTGTCTCGGGGCTGGCCCATCTCTGCGTGTGCGCTGACTGGAGGCCAGGCCCGCAGCACCTGTCCTTGCGTGTGTGCTGACCGGAGGCCAGGGTCCTCAGCGCGTCCCTGCGTGTGTGCTGACCGGAGGCCGGGGTCCTCAGCGCCCGTCTCTGCGTGTGGGCTGACCGGAGGCCGGGGTCCTCAGCGCGTCCCTGCGTGTGCGCTGACCGGAGGCTGGGCCCACAGCGCCCATCTCTGCGTGTGCGCTGACCGGAGGCCGGGGTCCTCAGCGCCCATCTCTGCGTGTGGGCTGACCGGAGGCCGGGGTCCTCAGCGCCCATCCTCTTTGCCTGCAGCGTCACCTCCCAGCACAGCCACGGGAACGCTGTCCATCGAGATCTTGGAGGTCAACGACCATGCCCCGGCGCTGGCTACCCTGCTCACCAGCAGCCTGTGCAGCGAGCCGGACCAGGGCCCGGGCCTGCTCCTGGGGGCCACGGACGAGGACCTCCCCCCGCACGGGGCCCCCTTCCACTTCCACCTGAGCCCCGGGCTCCCGGAGCTCGGCAGGAACTGGAGCCTCAGCCAGATTAACGGTGCGCCCACCCCTATCTGCCCCACCCATCCCCCCCATCTGCCCCATCCTCCCCCCCCCCCCCGTCTGCCCCATCCTCCCCCCCCCGTCTGCCCCATCCTCCCCCCCTCTGCCCCATCCTCCCCCCCCATCTGCCACATTCCCCCCCCCCCCCCCGTCTGCCCCATCCTCCCCCCCCTCTGCCCCATCCTCCCCCCCTCTGCCCCATCCTCCCCCCCATCTGCCCCATCCCCCCCGTCTGCCCCATCCTCCCCCCCCTCTGCCACATCCTCCCCCCCTCCCCTCCCCCGTCTGCCACATCCTCCCCCCCTCCCCCCCTGTCTGCCACATCCTCCCCCCCTCTGCCCCATCCTCCCCCCCACGTCTGTCCCACCCCCCCTCTGCTCCGTCCCCCGCCCCCCCCACCGACTGCCTTGTCCCTCCCTCCCCTCCCTCCCACGTCCCCGACAGTCCCACGGGCTCGGGACCTGGGTGGGGCTACTTCCCACACCCGAGTGGACGCACTGGTCAGGGACAGGGATTCTGTCTGCAGAAGCAGGGCCGGGTTCCCAGCTGGGGCGGCCCGGGGTCGGGGCGGGGCCCGGGGGTCGGGGTCCCGGGCAGAGGGGACGGGGTCCCGGGGCGGACGCGGGGGGGTCCCGGGGCGGACGCGGGGGGGTCCCGGGGCGGACGCGGGGGATCCGGGGGGCGGACGCGGGGGTCCCGGGGCGGACGCGGGGGTCCCGGGGCGGACGCGGGGGGGTCCCGGGGCGGACGCGGGGGATGGGGGGCGGACGAGGGGGGGTCCCGGGAGGCGGACGCGGGGGATCCGGGGGGCGGACGCGGGGGATCCGGGGGGCGGACGCGGGGGATCCGGGGGGCGGACGCGGGGGATCCGGGGGGCGGACGCGGGGGGGTCCCGGGGCGGACGCGGGGGATGGGGGGCGGACGCGGGGGATCCGGGGGGCGGACGCGGGGGATGGGGGGCGGACGCGGGGGATGGGGGGCGGACGTGGGGGGGTCCCGGGGCGGACGCGGGGGATGGGGGGCGGACGCGGGGGATGGGGGGCGGACGTGGGGGGGTCCCGGGGCGGACGCGGGGGATGGGGGGCGGGCGCGGGGGATGGGGGGCGGGGCCGGGTCCCGCTCCGCTCGGCTCGGCGGGTCCCCGCGGCCGCCCGCCCGGCTGAGCCGCGCCCCGTCCCGCAGCCAGCCACGCGCGCCTGCGGCCCCGGCGCCCGGTGCCCGAGGGCGCGCACGGCCTCCGCCTGCTGCTGCGGGACTCGGGGCTCCCGCCCCAGCAGCGGGAGCAGCTGCTGAACGTGACGGCCTGCCGCTGCGGGCCCGACGGCGCCTGCCTGCCCGGCGCCGCCGCCCTGCGCGCCGGGGCCGCCGGCCTCAGCCTGGGGGCGCTGGCCGCGGTGCTGGCCAGCGCGGCGCTGACGCTGTGTGAGTGCCCGCCCCGCCCCTGACCCGACCTGACCCCGACCCTCGACCCCGACCACCTCTGACCCCGACCCCCGACCCCACCCCCGGCCACCGACCCCACCCCCGGCCCGACCCCACCCCCGACCCCCGACCCCGACCACCTCTGACCCTGACCCCCGACCCCACCCCCGGCCACCGACCCGACCCCCGACCCCACCCCCGACCCTGACCCCGACCACCTCTGACCCCGACCCTGACCACCTCTGACCCCGACCACCCTGGACCCCACCCCCGGCCACTGACCCCAACCACCTCTGACCCTGACCCCTGACCCCACCCCCGGCCACCGACCCCACCCCCCACCCCCGTCCACCCCCGACCCCGACCACCTCTGACCCCGACCCCCGACCCCACCCCCGGCCACCGACCCCCACCACCCCCGACCCCAACCACCTCTGACCTCAACCCCCGACCCCCAACCCCACCCCTGACCCCGACCACCTCTGACCTCAACCCCCGACCCCACCCCCGGCCACCGACCCCACCCCCGACCCCCAACCACCCCCAACCCCGACCACCAACCTCACACCCCAACCACCCCTGACCCCGACCCCCGACCCCACCCCATCCCCGACCCCACACCCCAACCACCCCCAACCTCGCCCTCCAACCGCCTCTTCCTGGTCCCCCCCATCCTGTGCCTCCTCTGTCCGTCTGTCTGTCCACAGCGCTGGTTCTGCTGGCGGCGCTCCGTGCACGGGTCCAGCGGCGATCCCAGAACAAGGGTCTGCTGCCCGGACCGCCGGACGACCTTCGGGACAACGTCCTCAACTACGACGAGCAGGGTGGCGGGGAGGAGGACCAGGTGGGGAGGACGGGGGACAGGAGGGGGGAGGGCGGGGGGGGAGAGACAGGAGGGGGGAGGACCAGGTGGGGAGGGCGAGGGGACAGGAGGGGGGAGGGCGGGGGGGGAGAGACAGGAGGGGGGAGGACCAGGTGGGGAGGGCGAGGGGACAGGAGGGGGGAGGGCGGGGGGGAGAGACAGGAGGGGGGAGGACCAGGTGGGGAGGACAGGGGGACAGGAGGGGGGAGGGCGGGGGGGAGAGACAGGAGGGGGGAGGACCAGGTGGGGAGGACGGGGGGACAGGAGGGGGGAGGGCGGGGGAGGGGAGAGACAGGAGGGGGGAGGACCAGGTGGGGAGGACGGGGGAAGGAGGAAGGATGGGGACAGGTGGGGAGGACAGGCAGGGAAGAGGATGGGGACAGGAGGGGAGAGGGACCAGGTGGGGGGGACGGGGGGGAGAGGGGGGAGACAGGAGGGGAGGGGGACCAAAGGAGGGGAGGGGCCGGGGTAGGAAAAGAAGCCAGAGGAGGGGAGGGGGCCAGGGTGGGGGGCCAGGGTGGAGGGGGACAGGGCAGGACCAATTGAGGGAAGGGACGGGGTGGGGAGGGGCCAGGTAAACCGAGGCTCAGGTGAGCAGGGCAAGTATTAGGGAGGATGAAGTCAGGGGCAGCAGGGGCAGGGGTGGGCTCAGAAACACTGGGCACAGGACAGGTCCCCAGGAGCCGAGCCACTGCCTTTTCTTGCGGGACGGGGGGGGGGGGTTCAGGGTTCACTGAAGACCCGACTGCCCACAGGATGCCTATGACATAAACCAGCTGCGCCACCCCTCCGAGCGGAGCACCCTGAGCCTGCCCCTGGGACCCCCGCTCCACCGGGATGCCCCATGCAGCCACATGCGCCTCCAGCCTCCACAAGCGCTGCCTCACAGCCCTGCAGACATGGCCAATTTCATCAGTGATGTGAGTGCTCTGGGTGTGAGTGCTCTGGGTGTGAGTTCTCTGGGTGTGGGTGCTCTGGGTGTGGGTGCTCTGGGTGTGAGTTCTCTGGGTGTGGGTGCTCTGGGTGTGAGTGCTCTGGGTGTGAGTGCTCTGGGTGTGGGTGCTCTGGGTGTGGGTGCTCTGGGTGTGAATGCTCTGGGTGTGAGTGCTCTGGGTGTGAGTGCTCTGGGTGTGAGTGCTTGGGTGTGGGTGCTCTGAGGGTGTAGAGGCAGAACTGTGCATATTTGTGTGCACAAATGTGCACAAATGCACACATATGTGTACAGAACTGCACGTGCACAAATGTGTGTGCAAGTGCATGCATACATGTGCATTTCTTGTGTACAGATACACACATCACACCTTTCCAGGGAATTCTCTAGATACAGGTCCAGCCAGGGTCTTTGGTCTTCACGCTGCAGGCCTTGGCTGGACTCTGGGGCCCCTGGGGTGAGCAGGACCACGAGGCTCTGGTGCGTGTACTCCCAGGTGAGGGCTGGTGGTCACCGTGGAGAGTGGGGGCCAGGTGCCCTTGCTGTGGGGACCTGTGCTGCCCTGGCCGGCCGAGAAACACGGAGCTGCCACAGCCCTGCCCACTTTATTTACTGAGACGGCTGGGCTGGGGACAAGGCATCAGAGCAGGCAGGCCACGGAGCTTACTTTTGTGGCCAGCTGTGGGTGCTGTGCTCATGACACAATATCCGTGTGTGAGAGTCCAGAAAATTCATTGGTGTAGCGAGTAGGGTGGGGCCCCCTCAGCCATGCTGGACCCAGCAGGAAGCCTGCCTGCTTGCTTGATGCCCAGCCAGGGGGAAAGCCCCAGAAACGTAGAAGCCAGCGAGCCCTCCTCAGGCGCCTCCACCTCTGGCGGTGGAAGGGCACTGCAAGATCCCGGCGCAGAGGGCTCCGTTCCCTCCTCTCTGCTGGGTAGAAACCTGCCCTCCGCTGGCTTCTGCTCCTCGTGCGGGGCGGCAGACCTCATCCTGGCTGAGGCTGAACCCCGCACCTTTCCCCAGGGACTGGAGGCTGCGGACAGCGACCCCAGCGTACCACCCTACGACACGGCATTGATCTACGACTATGAGGGTGGAGGCTCCATGGCCGGGACGCTGAGCTCCATCCTGTCCAGTGAGGGGGACGAGGACCAGGACTACAACTACCTCCGTGACTGGGGCCCTCGGTTCGCCAAGCTGGCGGACATGTACGGGCACCCATGAGGCCGGCACCAGAAGCCAGCACGCTGTCTGGATGCACCTGTCCAGAGGAAGGGCTCCTGGAGACAGGACCCAGGGCAACCTTACCGTGCGGACCCAGTGGACACCCAGTCCTGGCCCCTGGCAAGATGACCTCAATGGGCCGAGGCTCAGGGCCTCTGGGCTTCACTCCCAGGGGAGGGCCAGGTGTGGGGACAGGCGTAGGGCCTGAGTGGATCCCCGGGGAGATTTCCTCAGCCGGTGCTCCTTACCATCGTGAGTGGCTGGCCCTCTGTATGAAAGCTGGACCCTCAAGGGTGAGTCAGAATTAAAAGCAGGCTGGTCAATTTGATGGACTGTGTGCCCGGTGCCACACTGGCCACAAAGGTGCCCTGCCCCCGCCCCCAGCAGAGCCTCAGCAGGCTGTACCTGGGGGGAGCCAGAGACCCTTCGCCCCGCCCCTTTCTGTGGGGCAGGGCGGTGGGGAGGCCCTGGAGAGCCCAGGTGCACTCCTGTGCACACGGGTAAGGGAGCCCTACCAGGCAGAGCAGGAGCACTGAGCTCCCGTTACACTCCACACCTTTCCAGGAAGGGAGCCCAAGGCCTCTAGGGCCAGAGTCCCGGGAGGGGGGGCTGCCAGGGCATCTCTGTGTCTGGCTTTACTGCTTGACCTCAATAGAACAGTAGGGTCTGTGGGGTACCGGCCATAGAAGCAGACAATGTGTGGGTTGCACAGTTCTGGGCCTGTGGCAGACAGCTGGCTGAGGCCTGGCCTCTAGGCCGACTGATGAACCCTGACCACTACCTGTTCCAGATGGCAGCCTTCCCCTTCCCAAGGGGCCTTCTAGAGAGTGCAGATGCTTTCGTGTCAGGAAGCCAGCAGTCAGGCTTCGGATGGCCAAGAGGCTGTGACTGGCACCAGTGTAGCAGCCCAACCTGAGGATGGGGGTCAGGAGAGCCGGGGCGGCTTGCCCAGGAGCTCTGGCGGCTGTGTGCCATGCCTGGCAGACCACACAGCCTGTGCTGGGAGCACCCGGCCGTGCCGGCTCGGAAGGGGCTGATGGCTCTTCAGCTGGCTTCCTAAGGTTTGCTGAAGGGGAAATGGCTGCCGGGAGCTGGGGGCCTCCCCTTGTCCAGGACACAGAAATGCAGGGAGTCTCCGGGGACGGAGCCACCAGAGGGAGGGGCACTTGGGTGGGGCCACACAGCAACTTTGGTGTTGCACAGAGCTGAGACATGCCCTGATTGTATTTAGGGTCCCCACCGCACCTGTGCAGACCCCACTGGCGCGTCCCCCACCCCCATGCTGCTTTTCTCTAGGACCCTGACACCCTCCCTGGCCACCGCCCACCCCACCCCCGGTAGCTCTAGCTGTGGCGTCCACCTTGTGCAGGGCCGGGGAGGGTGCGTGCGTCCATGAGCATGACCACTCAGCTGGCCGCCACTGAGAGCCCCGCGGGCTCGGGAGCAGCCTGGGCGGGCTTAGCTCTTCTGGCAGTTGGAGTCCCTGAAGCGCACCCTTCTCCCATCCCTCATCCTCTCAGCCAGCCTGGTGCTGCTGGGCCATGCTTTCGGGCTTGAGCACCTAGTCTGTGAAATGCCTTGGATGGTCAGGAGCCACACGGGGGGCAGAGGGAAGAAGCCCTGCGGGCGCCCAGGCCCAGGCGCCTCCCGCAGAGGCGGCAACCGCACCCACCCCGTCCAGGCCCCAGGCCCCAGCCTAGGGACAAGCGGGCGGGGAGGCCGGGCTCAAGGGTGGGCGGGACGGAGGGGCGCCCGGCCTGTGGGATCCCCGTGGGATCCCTGTGGGATCCGAGCGTCCTCCTCGCAGGCCTTGCCGCGCCCCTGGGCCCTCCACGAACTCCCGCGGGCCGCAAGGCGGGCGCAGGACGGGCACGACCCACCGAAGCAGCAAGACCCCCGCGGCCAGCGAGGGGCTGTGAGCCCCAGCAGGAGCAGAGGGGACTGGGGAACCCGTGGGCCCAGGAGAGACCAGTGGGTCTGGAGCGGCGTGGGTGCAGCCCAGCAATGAGCGGGTGGAGCTCAGCGCCAGAGCCACGCTGGGCAGCTGTGGGGAGGGGCGCGGCCTGGAGGATGGGTGGAGCCCTAGGAAGAGCCTGGTGAATGGGCGGGGCCTGAAGGGGCTGCCCAGCCCGCCATAGGCGGAGCCTGAATGGGCGGGGCCTAGTGAAGGGGCTGCCCAGCCCGCCATAGGCGGAGCCTGACTGGGCGGGGCCTAGTGAAGGGGCCGCCCAGCCTGCCATAGGCGGAGCCTGACTGGGCGGGGCCTAGTGAAGGGGCGGCCCGTGAAGCGGGCGCCACCCGCGCATAGCAGGGAGGCCTGACCCAGGTTGGGGCGGGCAAAGCAGAAGCGCATGCGGCGTGTCCCAGCGACCAGGGCCCGGCAGCAGGCCGTGTTGCTGACAGGGCGAACGCGGGGCGCAGCGCCAAGCTCCCAGCGGATGCCGGGCCTCCCTCCTTGGGGATCCCCTAGCTCAGAGCTGCCAGAAACCCTGGGAACGATCGGATCCTTGGCCTGTTCCTGACACCCTAACCTCCAGGACGGTCGGGCCGGCGCTGACCGACAGGCAGGGCAGCTCTCTGCTCGCCTCCCTGCTCACTGGCCGGCCGAGGGACAGGTGGCAAGGCGGGCCCTGCTCCCCCGGGGGGAGGGGGGGAGAGGGCGGCCTGGCAGCCTGTCCCTCGGCCGGCTTCCTCCATGTGTGTGTGCGTGTGTACAGTGTGTGTGTACAGGCCTGGCAGACTGACCGCGGCCGGCTTCCTCCTCCTCTGTGTGTGTGTAGTGTGTGTGTGCGTATAGGCCTGGCAGCCTGACCAGGGCCTGCTTCCTCCTCCTCCTGTGTGTGTGTGTACAGGCCTGGCAGCCTGACCAGGGCCGGCTTCCTCCTCCTCCTCCTGTGTGTGTGTGCATGTGTGTGTACAGGCCTGGCAGCCTGACCAGGGCCGGCTTCCTCCTCCTCCTGTGTGTGTGTGTGTGTGTGCATACAGGCCTGGCAGCCTGACCAGGGCCGGCTTCCTCCTCCTCCTCCTGTGTGTGTGTGCATGTGTGTGTACAGGCCTGGCAGCCTGACCAGGGCCGGCTTCCTCCTCCTCCTCCTGTGTGTGTGTGTGCATACAGGCCTGGCAGCCTGACCAGGGCCGGCTTCCTCCGTGTGTGTGTGTGTGTGTGTGCATACAGGCCTGGCAGCCTGACCAGGGCCGGCTTCCTCCTCCTCCTCCTGTGTGTGTGTGTGTGTGTGTGTGTGCGCATACAGGCCTGGCAGCCTGACCAGGGCCGGCTTCCTCCGTGTGTGTGTGTGTGTGTGTGTGTGTGTGTGTGTGTGTGTGCATACAGGCCTGGCAGCCTGACCGCGGCCGGCATCCTCCTCCTCCTGTGTGTGTGTGTAGTATGTGTGTGTGTGTGTACAGGCCTGGCAGCCTGACCGCGGCCGGCATCCTCCTCCTCCTGTGTGTGTGGTAAGAGGTCTGGCAGCCTGACTGCAGCTGGCTTCCTCCTCCTGTGTGTGTGCGCGTGCGTGTGCATGTGTGTGTGTAGTAAGAGGTTCTCTCTTAGGAGGGGGTGGCAACCTTGAGTCTAGGGAGGAAGATGCTCATTTCAAGATTAAAATTGAAACAGGAAGTGGCGCTGTGGCTCAGGTGGCAGAGCGCTCGCCCTGAGCTGAAGAGCTGAGGGACAGCGCCCAGGCCCCACAACCAACCAACCAACCAACCAAAAAATAAATAAATAAATAAATAAAAAGATTAAAATTGAACTATTTGAGAAGGAAAGCTTAACACAGTTGAGTTTTTAGACAGAACTTGTCAACTACACATTGAATCCTTCTGGGAGGGACAGTGCATGTACAAAGAACATTTTAATTAATTTATTTATTTCTTTACACATAACTGAAAGTGATGTTACAGTACATAAGTTATTTACAACTGTGCAGTAATGTGTTGCAAAATAAATTATCTAGAAGGCAGCAAAAGTACATTGTGAATGTATATAAAACTGTACAGCGTTTGCAGATACACTCTTTATAGGACTATTGGCTCTGTAGTGTTTCAAGTTACGTTCTCAGAAAGAGAAACAAAATGCCCAAGATTAAAGGAAAAAATATACAAACCACGTGGATTTGACTCCATTAAAAACACTATTGGAGAGTCCTGGCTGTGTCCCTCTTCGGCTGGGCAGGTGGCAGCCGGCCCTGGCAGGCACCAGCAGCACCCCAGTGTCCCAGCCTGCCCCGAGGACCTCCATGGGATGGCGTTCTCCTGCCCCTCCGACCTGGAGGTCACTGTGTGAGGTGGACACCTCAGTTTAGTTCATTTCCTGTAGTTGATCAGAATGGAACGAGGAATTTAAAAACACACTGTGACACAACTCCTCAGGTGCCCTGCAGTTGGCTAGAAGAGGCAGAGGGCGCGGTGCTTGGGAGAGCTGCCGGTGCCCAGGCCTCCTCTTCCTGCGGCGCGGCTGTGTGGAGAGCTGGCCTTGTGCTCCCATGGCAGCTGGTAGAGACACACATTCTGCACCCCTGGCACCGAGGCCAGTCTGGAAGGGGGACATGCGGACAGGACGGTCTCTGGACTCCTCCCTCCTGGAGGATGTGGAGCTCCCTCCTCCTCTCTGCCTCTACCGCCGCCGCTGCCGCCGCCGCCGCCACCACCACCACCACCGCCGGGACTCCACGGCAGCACGGGGCGACTGTGTGGCCCCTGTCTATGGACTGCAGCCTTTGGGAGGTATCACGCCGGCAGCAGGACGAAGTCGTCGTTAACGTCCACCATGGGCACGTAGAAGGAGGGCACCTCATTCACGCACAGGGACTTGTGTCCAGCAGGGTCCAGCTCCTGGGCCTTCAGCTGCCACTCCATCCTTTGCACGGCATTGAGGGCTGCCGCCTCATGCTGTTGCCGCATCAGGAGGCATGTCTGTAGGACATACACAGAGAAGGGTAGACGAGGGGCCCAAGGCGCACCACCCTGCCCAGGACCCAGCACGCTGTGCCCCATCCTGGTCCGCAAGGAGCTGCACCTGATGTGCTGCCACTACTTGCCCTGGTCAGAGTCCAGGCTGTCCTGAAGCCAGGTGTGGCATTGCCCCTGGAGGGTGTGAACAGATGGGGACCTGCCCCAGGGCCTGGCACGCAGCAGTTCTACACCTTTACCTCAACCTCACAGTCTTGATCAGTGACTGGGCAATAGTGACAGCAACAGGGTCATGGAGAGGTCCAATCCCTTTCACGCTCTGTTCAGGCCACCCCAACCCCAGGAGTACTGCCAGCAACTGTGGGTGCATCTGACAATGGCACGATTTCACTGTCTTTGTTTTATGGCTGTTATGTGATACTGTGTTCTTTGTGTTCGCACAGAAACCATGACACTGAAAGTGCACCATGTCGGGCCGGGCCGGCCTGCAGTGAGGACCCAGGGAAACCCAAGTGCTCAGTGCTAAGCTCAAGCTTGACAGGCTGCAGTGGCGGGTTCTATGCTTTGGTCCATGACCTTCATTAAGTTTTAAATGACTAAACAGAGGCTGTCAGCTGACTGGGTGTAAATCTACCAGCTGACACTTCTGCCAACCTGGGGGGAGCTGGCCAGTGTCAGCCCCCAGCCCCACACAGAGGCCTTCTATGAACATTCCCCTCCACCCCAGCACTGCGGTAGGTGCCGTGGCTTCAGTTCAGGGATCCGCGCTTGCTAGGCATTCAACTACTTGAGCTACACTTGCAGCCCCACGATCTCCTACACGGGACTCATTTACCTTTTGGTTGTGAAAGTAATGATTATATTGAACAACCCCTCGCTAAGGTCTGGCCATTTTACCTCCTTTTTCCTGGACTGCTTATATGCTTCTCTTGTCAGTTTGTAGGAGTTTCACATCGGCATTTTTACTGCTTTATTGTACATTTGTTTCAGTGTGCTAGTTTCTCTGCACAGTTCCCGGGGCCTCACTTGACCTGGAGGTGGCTCTGACAGGAGAAGGGAGTTGTAGGCATAGACTGAATCTCACCCCCATGAACGGCCATGTGGACATCTGTGGTTCAAGGGCCACATGGGCTTGTGATCCTCCTGCCCCTAGTCCTTGTGTTCTCACCAACCCCCCCCAACTACTGCTGTGGTGTGTTGGCCAAGATACACACTGCTCAGGTTGGGGATGCGGCGTGAAGCAGCTGTGTGGAGATTTTGCAACTGGCTAAGTTACCACCCTTGTTCAGCAGGCGGGCATCTGCTTCTTACTTTCTCATCTACCCCTATCATCTAAAAAAGGTAGCCACTGTTCTGTCCAGCACCTCTAGAAGAGCAGTGGTAGGAACGTGCTGGGACCGCAACGTGTTCAAGGTCAGGTCCAGGGGCCTGGTCAGCCAGGTTGAGAGCACTGTCACCTCCGAGGCCAGGGGAGGCAAGGTGGCTCCTTACAAATCCTTACCTTCATGCGGTCATACTTGTCATCCACGTCCTGCAGCCAGGAGATGAACTGACGAGCATTGAAGCGATCGCGTACGGACTTATTCTCGTCGCCCTAGAGAAAGCAAATGTGGACATTAATGGGGCACGAGAAGGCAGGCCGCATACTGCTTGTCCATTCTCCAACAGAAAGCAGAGGGCAACTTCAACACAGAGGCACACAAGCACAAGCACCTTCCTTCCTACCCCCCTTCAAGGCCGTCTACCATGCGCTGGGAGCAAGTACCTTCAAGGCAGCACTACAGAAGCTCTGGCAATGCCCTGCCTGGGGATGCCCAGCCCCTGTACATGGAAGGAGCAAAATCATTTAGACAGCTACCTCCATTTCAAGGACTTCAGTTTATACAAATGGAGTCATAGCTGGGAACCAGTGGCTCACGCCTGTAATCCTAGCCACTCAAGGGGCTAAGATCTGAGGATCATAGTTTGAAGCCACACGGGGCAGGAAAGTCCTATGAGACTCTTATCTCCAGTTAACAATCAGAAAATTGAAGTGGTGCCGCTGCTAAAAGTGGTAGCGTGCTTAGCCTTGAGGGAAAGGGCTCAGGGACAACCCCAAGGCCCTGAGTTCAAGCCTCAGGACACACAAAAAAAGGCATCATGTCAAGCTCCTCCCTTCTGTTCCTCAGGATATCTCAGGAGGTGGGATGTCGGGTGGGATCAGCCTCCTCACTAACCTCCACTCCGCATAGCTTGACTTAATGTCCGTCAGCCCTCACTACATTTTTATCACATGCAACCTTGTTCTACCATGATAGATGGATTTGCAAACAGAGCCAGGCCAGAGAAGCCCACAGGAAGGAAGGTGGACTAGAGGCCATGGTGTGGCAGTTGTGCTCCACTATGACCAGTGGGCTCACCCTGGGTGTCCCAGAATGGGATGTACTAATAGCTCTTTAAGAGGCTGAGATCTGAGGATTGCAGTTCAAAGCTGGAAAGTAAGACTCTTATCTCTAATGAACACACACACACACACACACACACACACACACACACACACAAGAGTGGAGCTGCAGCTCAAGTGGAAAGTGTGTAGTCCTTGGGCTGGGAAGGTGGCTCAGTGGTAGCGCGCTTGCCTTGCATGCATGAGGCCCTGGGTTCAATTCCCTAGCACCACATAAGCAAAAAGAAAAAAAGCTGGAAGTGGTGCTGTGGCTCAAGTGGTAGAGCGCTAGCCTTGAGCTGAAGAGCTGAGGGACAGCGCCCAGGCCCAGAGTTCAGGCCCCACGACCCGACCAAAAAAAAAAAAAAAAGAGTATAGCCCTTGAGCTTGCCCAGGGACAGTGTGTAGGTTCCGAGTTCAAGCCCCAGGGCCGGCACTACGACTTCCTAAAACCAGAGTGCCCAGACAGCAAGAAACATGCACATGGGAAGAGGCTTTGGCTGGAGACCCTCTGGTTTTGAATTTAAAAAGTAACTCAGGAAATGGCTTAAATCCTTTTTCTCTTTTTGATACAATGTATAACTTCCAAACATCTAATTTCCCATGTCTCATCCCCAACTAATCTTTCTGCTTAGGGACTTGCTTTACAGAAAGCCTATTACGCCCGAGAAATGGAGAAAGTGTACGTGTCTCCAGAGAGGCAGCCCTTGAAAGTGTGATAAACGTTTTTACTTAAGCCCAAGGAACACGGTATGTTGCTACATGGTGAGTCCTGGGGTCTCCAGGGCATGTGTCTTGAGAACGCGTCACCAAGGTTTGAATGGCTAAAGAGGAACCAGTTCCAGGCAAGTGTATGTTGGTCAGGGAGGTGGGGCCTGGCAGGGCCCACAGAGGTGGGAGCAGCCGCAGAGGGCAGGGAGCACAGGGGGTAGGTAAGACGGGCTCAGGATGATGCCTGTGGGACACTCAGGCTCAGAGAGGATGGAAAGCGGCGGGAGAGCCCCTGCTGGATCTGAGCCTTGAATAGGGAATGCGCACCACGGCTGGTGCCCTACAGCCCAAACAGCAAGCATTCTCTGGAGGGTCATGAGGATGGACCTGTGGGTACACCGGCCTGGCTGCCCTCAGCTGCAGACAGGGCTGTCCAGGTACACACCACCATCATGGAGGAAGGGAGCCTCTTGCCCTGTGTGCACAAGGGCCTCCGAGGATGCTGCAGAGTTCACGAGAGGCCCACGAAGGGCGGCCCGCGCACCTCTGCCTGTGCTTGTCCAGGGCATGTCCCCGGGGCACTTGGGGCCCACAGTGGGGGGAGGAGGGTGGTTTTCAGGGAAGCTCGTTCGGGTCCAACTGTGGCGTGCAGCTGCCCCCTGCCTGGTAGGCCGCAGGAGAGACTCCTGGGGGCGGGAGAAGCTTAGGGCTCCCCTGGGGAGGCCTCACCTGGCTCTCCAGAGGCATGTTGTACACTTCTGAGTCCAGCAGCATCGTGCACGCACTGAAGGGTACAGCCTGGTTGGCGATGGTTCTGGCTGCCCGGCAGTGAACCCGTAGGATCTCCTGCTCACAAGACACAATCAGCTTCTCCTGGGGGAGGACAGGAAGAGTGAGCGCAGAGCTGGGGCATACCAGCCTGCCGGCCCAGCCCTGCCCGGCCCGGCCCAGGCTCCACTCACCCGCTCGATGCTGTGCTGCAGCCGCAGCTTCCCCCGCACGGCCTCTTGCTGCTTGAACAGCTCCTTTAGGGGCTCCGCCAGGGAGGGCGGGGGTGCAATCTGCAGGTGAAAGGGGGAGGGGGAATCAGCAGGGCCACACCTAGAGCAGACTTCAAACCGGGACAGGTCTTGCCCAGCATCCACTTGGGAAGCAAGATTGGAAAGGGCACAGAGCCACCAGGACGGTGGGCACTGATGCGGGGAAGGAGAGACGGGTGTGATGCATGCCTGGGCCACAGAAGGGCCGTAGACCTCCACCAGTATGGACGGGGGCAGGAGCACGGGAAGCTCTCTGCAGGCAGGGGGGTGGGGAGCAAGTACATGAAAGTATCATACCAGGTAAGGACAAGTCTTCTCTGCCTGAAGACAAGAAACAAGCGGGGGGGTGGGGGGGGGTGGGGGGAGGCATGCTGCTGGGTAGAACCTGGGTCAGGTTCCAGAGCAGGCACAAGCAATGGCACAGTGCATGGGACTGAGGTAGGCACACTGTGCAATGTAATGAGGGGCTGGGGCTGGGGCGTGCTGCTTGAGAGAAGGGGCACGCGGTGGCATGGAAGGGCAGCACTCAGAGGAAGGCTGGAACGCCGGGAAGAAACACCACCACTGGCCATGCTAACAACACGGGCTGAAGGACAGCAGCACTCCAGTCACCTGAGGTACTGGAGAGAAAGCAGCAGGCCCGCAGGCCAGGGCCTCCTGGGAGGGGTGCCGAGGAGGGGAGGAGCCAATCTCATCTACTAAGATACAACACACTACTAAGGGTAGTAGATTCCTAGTGTGGAGCCCTGGCTGGCAGCCCCAATCTGGTGCACCAGGCACTCAGCAGGGAGCAAATATCTGACCCCCCAAGAACCCTGGACCCTGGCAGACACACCGCCACTCAACCCCGACACTGGGAATCCTAGGAGTCAACACCCTCAGACCCGTCATGGGACATGTGTCACGGACCTGCCCGTGACGGAGGCCGATGCCGCTCCGGTGATGGTATACTTGAACTCTAAACTTTGTTATCAATCTAAAGTTAGCTGAAAACTGAAAATTCAGCCAGATCTTAGTCTATGGACTCTGCCCCTAGTGGGGAATCCTGGACATGGAATTTCCAACAGGATGCGGTATCCTTGGGGCCCTCTAAATGCAGCGCCAGGCGGGAAGCTGAGTGACAAGCTCAAGACCTAGAGTTCCAGCTGCAGGAGGACTGTGTGGGCCTCTGGTCTCTGCTGGCAGGGACTCAGCAGCATCAGAGCGAGCTGCACCTACGGGACACTTGACATATCAGCCTGACCAACCCTCCCCGTCTCACCCATGATCTGGGGGACACCTAGACAAGGGGTGTGGGGAAGCACGCACACTGACGGATGTCAGCTGGGCAGTAGGTTTATGTGGTCTTTTTTCCTTTCCTCTATCATCCAGATTTTTTCTTTTTCTTTTTTTTTGGGTCCGGTCATGGAGCCTGAACTCTAGGTCTGGGCACTGTCCCTCAAGGCTAGCACTCTACCACCTGAGCCACAGCACCACTCCCGGCTTTTTTTTCTTTTTGCTTATGTGGTGCTGAGGAATCGAACCCAGGGCCTCAGACATGCAAGGCAAGCGCTCTACCACTGAGCCACCTTCCCAGCCCTCGTCCAGATTTTCTACGGAAACCATCTCATTCTATTTTGATCACAAAAAATGTAAAATAAAGTTCAAAACAGAATAGAGCTGAGTGCCAAAGGCTCGTGCATATAACCCTAACTACTCAGGAGGCAGAGATCTGAGCCTCATGGTTTTAAGCCAGCCTGGGGAGAAAAGTCTATGAGGCTTTGATTTCTACGTAATCACCAAAAGCTTTAAGTCGAAGTGTGGAGCAAGTGGTACAGTGCCAGCCTTGAGCGAGGAAGCCAAGCAATTCAAGGGTCTGCATTCAAGCTCCAGTACCCAACCAACAAACCAAAAAAGAAAAGCAAACAAAGCAAAACAAAACAAACAACCCATAAAGATCAACAGGCTGGCCAAGGCCGGGTTTTCCTGAGCACTTCCATCTATGTCAGCCTGGCTGTGGCTTGGTTCTCCACAGGGGACACCGTTCTGAAGCCTAGCCCTTCCGGGCAGGCCCGCAGTCAGAGCCCCACCTTTACCTCACTCAAGGACTGTGGTCCTGCTGCCAGCCTAGCCCGTGCATGTAGCCTGGTCCTCCCCTTTGGAAAAGACCTTGAGTCTCGTGCAATGCACAGATCACAGCGTTAGGGTCCCCCAAAGTGGGCCCACTGTAACAGGCTGTGGCTTGACTGACAGGATGGCGCCTACCTAGGAAGCCTGGTCTGTCTAGAGGGGTGAGATGGCAATACACTAAGTCAGGGCAGGGAGGCAGGAAGGGCCCTTTACCTCTGGTGTTGACGAAGACTGGGCGGGGGTGGGGGTGGGGAGGGGGAGGTTGGGTGGCAGCAGCAGCAGCAGCAGCAGCAGCAGCAGCAGCAGCAGCAGCAGCAGCATGACACAGGAGGAAGCTGCCTGTATGGGCTGGGTGTGATGCTGGCCCACCTGTGGCAAGGAGCCAGGGAAAAAGGAGCCGCAGTGGGCCTGGGGCCCTGCTGGAGAGACGAGCTGGGTGAGGGAGACAGAGGACTGCAGTGCGATTCCTACAGGTGCTGGCCCTGATTGGTGACAGCCAGGAGTACCAGTCCTGACCTCAAGGAGAGCCGGGCTCGTGCCCCGCCCCTGGCCCAGGGTAGATGCCGGGACTCACCACAGGGATGTGCAGCTTGCTGAGGGGCTTGCCGTCCAGGAGGTAGGAGCCCGTGTAGGTGACATACTCAGCGTAGCACTGGGGCGCCTGTGGGGTGATGCAGCAGAGGATCTTCCGCTTCTCCTCAATCTTCTTTCTGATCTGAAGGTACTCAAAGTAGGGGTTGGACCTGTCACTGTGGTAGGGCTCGATGGCGTCCAGCTTGATGGCATCCACGATGGCGGCCAGCGTCTGCTGGATCACCTCCCGAGTCTGCTGGGTGGACGTGTTCAGCTGCTGCTGGAGCTGCTGGCTGGAGCGCTGGAAACGGCGCTTGCGGGGGTGCTGGGCGTGGGCGTCTTCCTCCTCAGAGGTGCGGCCCTTGGCTCTGGAGGCCGGGGCCGGGGCGGGCTCCTTCTCTGTCGGGGGCGTGCTCTGCTTGTTCTGGCTGGCCAGCATCTGGGCCCGGTTCCGGGTCATGCGCTGCGGGACTTCCTCTACCTTGGGGGCCTTCGGTGCTCCGGCCGAGGGCTTGGGCTCTGGGTCTGCGGCTTCCGGTGGGACGCCGCCTAGGGTCCCGTCCGCTGGGGGCGTCGCACCCGCCACCTCAGCACCGTCCTGGGCTGGTGTCTCCTGCTCCGCGGCAGGGCCCTCAGGGGTACAGTGGGGAGTGGCGCAAGGGTCTTCCACCTTGCTTTCATCTCCACCTGCTAGGGGACACTGTTCAGGGGGTCCAGACACAGGCCCCAAGCTGGACTCCAAGTCCTCCGGGGCCCTCTTACCCACCAGGACTTCTGCCTCTGTGGTGGCTTCCAGAGCGGCATCTGGCTTTGGGCCTTCTGCGGGCTCTGGCTCAGCCGGGGGCTGAGGGGATGCCTGCTCAGGAGGGGGTGCTGCCTGCTCCTCGGCCGCTAATGCAGAGACCCCACCACCGAGAACCCCGGGAGCCCCTGGAGGGCTCTCGTCTGGAGGAGCAGGACTGCCCTCCGCAACTTCCGCCTCCATGTCTGAAGCGTCTTTGGCTTGGAGAGGGAGCTCCGGCAGCGAGAAGGGCCCCAAGTCCAGCTCCTCCTCGGGGCTGGCGAAAGCATCGGGCCAGGGCACCGGCTCCACCTGGCCCAGAGTGGCTAGGTTGTGACCACTGTCCAGGAAGGTGCTCTCCAGGGGCCCCAGAGCCTCCACCTGGGCCCCAGCAGGGACACAGGGGGGCTCGGGGGCCGTGTCAAGGGGCCCGTCTGGTAGAGACTTGCGGTTGCTGAAGAAGGAGCCCAGCCTGGCAGGAGCAGCATAGGCAGCTCCTTCCGAGGCAGAAATGGGGGCAGGCACTGCTCCCTCCCCATCATCTTTGACTTCCTCCAGGCCCGGCTCAGGGGCAGGCAAGGGGTAGGAGCCGGGAGAGACGGGGTACGGGGACTCTGCAGCACTGAAGGGCCCTGGGGTGGTGGCATGGAGGGACTCTGTGGGGCAGAAATGTTTTGGGGACTCTGGGAACTGCTGTGGAGACTTCAGCAGAAGGTCGGGGCCCACGGGCCAGCTGCCAGGGTTTTCGGAGGCACTGGCCACCAGCGTGGCAGAGAGGGCCTGCTCGGTGGCAGGGTGGGTCCACTCCACAGGCTCCTCGGTGATGACGGCACTGAAGGGGCCCTCGTCCAGAGGCTCCAGGTAGCTGGGCTCTGGGGGGATGATGGCCGCGGTGGCCTGCTGGTCCTCCGTGGCATCCAGAGGGAGGCCCAGGTTGGGGGGCAGGGCTCCTTCGATGGCAGGGGCCAACAACTCAGCCCTGGGGGACGGAGAGTACTTGGCTGGTAGGCTGGAGAAGACCCCCTCTGGGGGTGGTGTGGCACTGCCCACCGCAGCCGGCGGGCAGTGCAGGGCGTCTGTCTTGGGCGAGGGGACGCCGTAGTCTGGTGAGTAGTACCCCGGGGACAGGCAGGCAAACTTCTCCGCAGGAACGGCTGGCAGAGCAGCTTTGTCTTCTAGCAAGTGTTGCACTGGGGAGTCGAAGCTGGAGGCGGCAGGGACACTCTGCTGCCTGCACAGCTTGTCCCCAACGCTGAATTCCTCCTCAGGGGTCCTCCTGATGTCCACAGAGATTGAGCGGTACAGGTTTGTGGAGACTGGCCTTGTGGGTGTCTGGCCCGGGTTCTCTGAAACCCCGCTGGAGGCCACGGAGAACCTGTCAAAGAACGGTGGGGAGCAGGCGCTGGCAGACACGGTGGAGACAGGCATGGAATGCTGGGAGTCGGCACAGTCGAACACCAGGTCGGGGTAGTCGTCTGCACTGCAGGAGGGGGTTCTGGGCGTGTGCATCACCTCCTCGTAGCTGGGGCAGGACACTACTGAGGTGGGCGTGGGCACCCCGGTGGGCCGGCCCTGCTCAGGCCGGGGTGAGGCCGGCAGGGCCTCCTTCAGGGACGGCCCCGCTAGCCAGTCCTTGGGCTCTGCACCTGGTCCCGGGGTTGGCTTGCTTTCAGTGGTGGGTAACATGGGAGTTGACTCCTTCGGCTTTTTGTCCTTAAAGGGAGGGTCCAGCCCCAGAGGTTTCTTGGAAGGAATGTCCAGGCTCTTCTTCCGCCCATCATCGACGGGCTTCGTCTTCTCCTTGAGCTTGGGGTCTCCAGACCTGTGCCTCATCTTCTCCATCTGCCTCATCCGCTCCTTGTGCCGCTTGTGCCGCTCCTCGATCTCCAGGTCCTTCTGGGACAGCATTCTCTCAAAGCTGGTCATCATCAGGTCGCCGTCCCCCAGGAGCTTCTCCCGGGGCCGGGGCTCCTTCTTGCCCGTGTCCCTGGAGGACGGAAGCTTGTCGTTCCCGTTGCTCATCTTCACGGGGTCGCCCTTCTCTCGCTCTGTGCTCTCCTTGAGCTTCTCCTTGAGCTTGGTCTCGCTGAGCTTCAGGCCCTCCTCCCGGCCCTTCTCCTTGAGGGAGCCCAGGGGGCTGTCCTTGTCCTTGACTGCCAGCTTTGGCTCCTCCCTGTGGTGCCGCAGAAAGCCGTCCGCGTGCTTGTCCCGGTGTTTCTCCCTCTCCTCCCTCCACTTCTCCCTGTGTTTCTCTCTCTTCTTCCTCTCTTTCAGGATGTTGAGAGTACTCGATCCGTAAGGCTTTAGTTCCTTTTCTATTTTCTTGGAAGCTTCCCTTTCAGAATCATTTCTTTCTTTCTTTTCAGCAGAAAATAGTTCAATTGTTTTATCCAGCTCCTCCTCAGCATCAGCTTTTGTGGAGTAAGTGATCCCGTAGGTGTCTGACTCTAAGAAGTCCTTTTCGAACTGGCTGGAGTCTTTCCTGCCGCCGCTGTCCTTGTAGTCTTCGCCCTTTTCCTTCTTCTCAGCCTTCTCCTTCTTGGCTTTCTCCCGCTCATGGCTTTTCTTGGAGGATGAGGAGGAGTGTCTGTGCCTTTCTTTCTCCCGGAGCTTCTCTGCAAGACAGGAGTTATCCCTAGCCTTATCTTCGGGCAGGGGCTCTGAGAAGGACACCTCCAGGAGGGTGCTCAGGCCAGGCTCCTGGCCCCGGTCTGCAAAGCTGTCAGATGAGACCTCACTGATTTTGTCATTGGAGTCTTCTCGGTAATCATGCAGAGCCTCTTCCTCCAGCTTCTCCAGCAGGCTCTTCTCCATCTCAGCGCTCCTTGAGGCCTTTCTTTCTCGGGAGTGCTCCTTCTCTGGTTTCTCTTTGTGCCTGTTCTTGGCCTTGTCTTCAGCAGAGTGCTTCTTCTCCACCTTTTCAGGGAGCTTCTGTTTGTTTTTCTTTTCTTGAGCAGAGTCAACCGAAGATCTGTCTTTCCTGTCCTTATATTTTTCCACACACTCTTTGTCTTTCTTCTCCTTGTGCTTCTCAAAAGTCTTGTCCTTTTTGTCCTTCCCCACTTCAGCAGCTCCTCTGTCTTTTTTCTTCTCCTTGGGCTCTTTGTCTCGTGGCTTCTCCACATGCTGCCTGTCAGAAGAGGACTTCCTGTGCCTGTCGGAGGGATGTGGCTCTCTCCCATCGTCCTTCTCCTGGAGGCTGTCCATCCTCTGCACGTCACTGGCCTCTGCCACCTTGAAGCTGCTGGCCAGGTAATCGTCTTTGTCGTCTTCACTTTCATCTGTGAATATGTCTGCAATATACCAGCTCTTCTCCTTTCCCTTCTTGTCGTCTTTTTTTTCAGGGAAGTCTTCTGAGGTGATTCCAGAGAATGTCTTCTCCTTCTTCTCTCTTGTCTGCTCGAGGGACAGTTTTCTGTCTTTATCTTTGCTGTGCAGGTCTTTATGCTTTTCCTTGCCATCTTTCTTCTCTTTAAAACACCGGTCAAACTCCTTGTCCTTCTGACATTTCTCAAGGCTGGATTTCTCATTTCTGTCTCTCTCACTGGATTTGTCTTTGTACTTTTCTGCTCGCGCCTTCTCCTTCCTCTCCTTCTCCCGGACCGCATGGGGACGCTCCCAGGGCTCCAGGTTCTTGGCAAAGTCGCAGTCAGGTTTATCTTTGAAGCTCTCACAACCGCACTCCTTCAGATCCTCCCTGTGCCCCTCCTCAGGCCGGGCGCGCCCGTCCCTGCGCTCCAGGGGGTCCCTCCGGTCTCGCCCGCCTTCAGCAGACTCCCTTCTCTTCTTGTCTTTCTCGGAGAGATAGCTGGAGATGCTTTTATGCTTTTCTGTTTCTCTCCTCTTCTCAGAATTCTTGTCCAAATACTCCCTGTCCTTCTTTCGGAAAAAAGTCTCTCTGAAGTCCCGCTTTTCCCGGGCTTTGCTGTCCCGCTTCCTCTCCTTACTATCCAGGATAAGTTTGGCTACAGAGTCACTCTTGATGTCCCTGTAGTCTGTCGCTGGAGAGTCCCAGCTGTCTTCCCCTTTAAAGTCAAAGGAAGAGTCAGATAGGTCGGAAAACCACCTTTCTTGCTGATCATCAGAAAGACTGAATTTGGTGTCTTCACTCTCTAGAAATTGGCTTTTGTTACAATATTCATCAAAAGCGGACTCTTCCCTGTACACCTTTTCCTTTTTGAGCTTTTCTTTTTCCTCCTTGAACACCTTCTCCTTGGACACCCTGTCCTCTTTCATATCATTCTTCTTCTCTAACTTGGAGGGTCGGTCTTTGGACCTTTTCTTTCTCAGTCTTTCCTCCCTGGCGGACTTCTCCCTGTCTGCTTTACTGGAGCGGTCTTTCTCTTCCCGGAAGGGCCTGCTGAGGTCTCTGCTCGTGTCTTTGATCCTCTTCAGTGCCTTCTCATCCTTGAAGAGCCACTCTTTCTCCTCTGACTTCATCTTGCCAAGCTTCTCCTCTTTCTTAAAATGCTCTCGGTCGTGCTTTAACACTTTCAGCTTGTTTTCAGTAGAAATGTCATTATCTAAAAGGATGGCCTTATCTGACTTTTGCTTGGAGTCCTCATATTCATAGGTAAAGCTTTTCAGTTTCAGTTCCTGGCTGACTGAGCACTGCCCTTTCTCCTTGCTTTTGTGTCTGTGTTTTGTCTTGTGTTTTTTGACCACCTTGCCTTCTTTGTCCAGCTTGGGGACCGCGCCATCGGTGCTGGGGTGGAAGGTGCTCCTCTTCTCGGGCTGTGTGCTCTGCAGACTGCTCCTCTTGCGGTGCTCCTGCTTCCTCCGCGTGGGCTTCAGTGACTCCACACTGGAGCCCTCCGAGGAGCAGTCAGACTCGCTTGTTAGCCCCGTTCCTGAGGAGTCTGACAAAGAACTGACCTCAGACCACGCTGGGGAAGAGATGGCTTTCCAATTGTCTGTGCGCCAGTGTTTGGTGTGCTGGTCAGTGTGGCCTGGGTTATGCTTCGGGGCTGCAGTGCTGCCATGAGATGAGGTGGATGAGGCGGAGAGTGAGCTGAACAGAGAGGGGTCCTTCAGCACTAGCGGGGACCCCCGGAGGCAGCCCGAGCTCCCCACAGAGTCCCCATCATCCTCATCGCTCTCAGAGGACTCGCTCTCAGATCCCGAGGAACAGAACTTATCAGTCCTCTTTCCAAACCGGACTTCTTTGCCTTTTGCCTCTTTCTTTCGCTTCTTTTTTACTTTACTTTTTTCTTTCTGCTGCCTGGAGTTGGAAGACTCTCGTGCCTTACTGCTGGGCAGCATGGTGTGCGCCGAAAGCCTCAGCTTCTCTCCAGCCCCCACAGTAATGCTCACGCCCTCCTCGTCGGACGTGTCTGACAAGATGCGATGGGCTGCCTTCTTTGGTGCGAGCGTGTTATTTTTTGTGTAACTCTTCACTTCCATTTTGGGTATCGAAATGAAACTGTTCGACTTAGCCTCCTTCCTGTAGTCCTTCTTGAGCAAGTGCTTGTCATCCACGGGGGGAACCCTGTCCTGCTCATCATCCTCATCAAACTCGTACTCGTCCTTGACAGGGGTCACAGTTTTCTGTGGCTCGGGATTCTTAGCCTTGAGCTTCAGGCCTTTCTCAAACTCAGAGTCCGTGTTATTGCCATCAACCGAGCTAGAAGGTGCAAACGACGGGGCATCCTCCTCTTCTGAGCTCTCTGTGAAGAACAGGAAGGGAGTGTCAGAATCACTCTGTTAGTATGGTCCAGGGATCTTCTGCCTCCGTGAGAAGAGGCCCCCAAGGTGTGGCTACCCATGAGGGCAGGCACTTTGCTTAACCGAGTCACCTCTGAGGCCAACCATGGGACCCAGGGAAGTTTACGAGAGGCAGGACTGGCATCTCAAACAGGTCGCTGGCATCGTGGCAGCTGCCCTCTGGAGACACTGCAGGGCAGTCTACAGGTGAACATCACATACCAACGGGGCAGGGCACCTGCCATGGCAAGTACTCACGGTCTGGAGCCTGGCTTACTTACCAGTGGAGCTCTCCTCACTGGAGGTGTACGTGCCTTTGCCTAGCAGGAGATTCACCATGGTTGGAGAGTTGGCTACTTTCAACGGTGTCTCGCCTTTCCTGTTGCTTTGTTGAGGGTTTCCTCCGTACCGTAGCAACAACTTCACCACCTGTAAGACACACAAATCACATTGGAAGGCCATCTGAAAAACACACTCTCATTCCTGTGCAAAACCACATCCTCCCTCCCCAAGATGTCTGGTATGTGACTAAGGATAGCCTTAAGGCCCTGTGTGGGTGTTCTGAGCGGCCACTGCAGCGGGGTCTCCTGGTGCTAGGTAAGATTGTACTCTTCTGTGAGGATTATGGCAGGGCTTCACCCAGAAGCACTTTGCCACCCTCACAAAACTCAGCCACTTCCCTGGAATCTTCTCCCCATGGCTGCCTCCCACCATCAGTAAGCTCTGGTTAGCAGTGGGGTCCTGGGAGGGCTCTGATAGTTTCAGAGGAGGCTTGCTTTGAGGGTCAGGGGCACACAGAATAGAGGAAACAAAGATCAATTTTTTGCAAGTTGGTTTATTTATTTTCATTTACATTAGAAAATATAAAAAAGTCTTCCTTAATTGATTTTACATGTACAAGGATGGCTACATTAAGTGACAGAAACAAGGTGACATTGTGACAGCTCTGTTCAATCATTTATAATCAGCAACCTGTACTTCAAATGCCCAGGACAGCAACTCACTAAGATCAAGTGCAAGCATTAAAGCTGCCTTCTACTTCAATCCGGTCTGAGTGAGGCCAAGCTCAGTGCACATCTGGTTACCCACAGTCTGTTTCCACTTTGAGCACCGTTTGGCGTTAGTATTATCAGCATGTTTGAGTTTTCTACTGATATGAAAAATCACCACAGACTAGGCTATGTTTGGAGCGATCAGCCTTACCAGCTGGGCTGATCAGCATGCAGGCAATGCTGGCTCCTTCCTCGTGAGTTGTGGGCAGAACACCGTGCATTGCACTTAGGACCAAGGATGCTTGACTATGGGAGGCTACCCGCTTCTTGGACCTGTGGCCTTCCAAAGGCTAGCAGTGTAGGACTAAGTCTCCTCTGGGCCTCGTTTCTCCTGGACCCACAGAGGAAAGGCTACCAAGCTGCCCGCCAAACCATCCGAGCTGGCCTCGCCCATGAAAGCTGCTGTCCTGTCCTGCCCGTGCCACTGCCTTTCCATGGTCCACACTGCTCCATCATGAAATTCGACAAGGTGTGGCAATGCAGATGAGCAGCCCTGCCATCCACCACAGTCCCAGACACACCTTGCTCACTCTGTGTACCCCTTGCTCACTCTGTGTACCCCGTGCTCACACTGTGCACCCTGTGGGGAACATCTTGGAAATCTCACATTTCCCTCAATACCAGGTCCTTAAAAAACCACGCCAGCCAGAAGCCAATGGCTCATGCCTATAATCCTAGCTACTACTCAGGAGACTGAGATCTGCACGAGGCTGCCAGACCAGGCAGAAAAGTGTGAGACTCACCCAAGTATGCAAAACAAACCATAATGCTGTTACATCACCTAAAAAACAACTCCTTAACATCAAATGGGATCACTCAAGTAAGAGTTTTGCTGTTATCTTTGTTTTTGCAGTACTGGGCTTGAATTTAGAGCTTCAGGCTTACTAGGCAGGCATTCTTCCCTCATTGCCTGGGTATGTGCATAGTTTCAATCCTATTTTTCAGTTCCTGTCCTAGCTAGTAGGACAATGAGCTAGAATTGTGATCCTTCTGATCTCAGCCTCCCAAGCAGCTACAGTGGGAGCCCTAAGGTACTGGCACCTGGCTTCAGAAATCTTAATTGAGGGTACTGTCCCCCACAGGACTCATGGTGTTCTGCTGCACTGTGCCACCTGAGATGCTGTACATTCCTGGCATCTTCCAAGAATGGACAGGCAGGGGCTGCCGTTTGGTGATCTGAACGTGGACAGACGTGGTTTGCATGGTAAGGGTTACTCTGAAGGGCTGATCAAGGTGGCTCAGGTAATGATGTCACCTCTGAATCCTCATCTCCAGCAGGATGGGGTGTGCCTGATGTATCCTATGTGTCTTTTACTCCAGTTCTGGAAGTGACCCTTCCTTCCTGCAGGAGGTGGAGCTCCTTGCCTGTCATAGGGGGTCTAATCCTGACTACTATCGCTGGAACTTTTGGAGCTGCCTTCCAGGTAGAGCAGTACCACAGTGATGACAACAGGGACCTGGCATCGGTTTGTGCTGCTGCATTTCCACCACCCTCCTGGACAAGCCCAGGCAGCCCCACGCGGCTGAGGGGCGACCCTACGTGCCACAGCAGTGCTTGTCAAGTCCGGGAGAGGTGTCCAGGTTCTGACCCAGGGCAAGAGATGCCAGAGGGGACAGCCAGGCCTCAGTTCATAGTACTACAGAAGTTGGAGGCTAGCTGGGCAGAGAAGGTGCAGCGGAGGGCAGAGCGGCTATGTAAGGGCACAGGGAGATGCCAACCTTGTAGTGCCCGTTGTTGGCGGCATCGTGTAAAGGCGTGTCGTCGTCCAGGCCCTTGGTGTTCACCTCTGCGCCTGCGGCCAGCAGCTGCTTGGCGATGTCATAGTAGCCCCGGTTACACGCTTCATGTAGCGCTGTCCAGCCTGGAAACAGACACTTAGGACACTTGTTACGTAATCCTCGAGCAGCGCACTCCAGCCTCTGAGATGCGTTCAATGACCAAGGACAGAGGCCTTGCACTAAAGGGCAATACCTAGAGAAGTAGGTTACAGCTCAGACAAGTCCTAAAATTTCCTTACTGTGGTGCCTTGTTTACATAATGAACAATTATTATTAACCTCACAGATAAATATCGTCTACAGCAATAAATCTGTGAACACAGACTGTAAGAATAGTAACCTCATCTCTGTTCATCAATCCATACACAGAACCCTTCCGGAGAGCTCTGCGAGACTATAGGGCTGCTGCTGCTGTCCTTCTTGGATCCCCATGGGCTGGGAGCCACACAAAGGGAAGTGTCTCTGGCAGGCAGCTCCCCTGGGAAGTTGTGAATCCACCGTCACACAGTGTGGCCAAAGGTTCAGCCTCTAAGGAAAAGTCCCACAGGAAGACTGCTTTCCTACTGCAGAAAACTAAGCAGTAGAAGAAGCCTGGAACCCTGCACGAGGCCTATTTCCTTTGCCTCCTGCTCACTCAGCAAGGAGCGCATGCCTCTGGATCATGTGGCAGTGCATCATGGTGTGACTGTGCTTCATGCAAAAATGCAGCACTGGACTCACAACTGTAGAGCAGTACAACAAAGTCTTGCCTGGAATCTTCAGTTCTAGGCAGGTGCTTTCACATCTTAATGTAAAAAGTGATCTGTCTCAGTCCAACTTTTGCACCAAACTGTGTGGGTGAGGGAGTATCTTCAGGTCTGTATGTCCGCACAGACTCGAGTGTGCAGCTGGTGGTACAGAGCGCCCTCTGCTGGGGTGGTGCGGTTACTTCCTAAACACAATGTACTGAGACACCCACCAGGGCCCAGCAGAGTAAATACTCAAAACTCAGTTTTCGTTAACTATAACAAAAAGCAAAAAGACACTATGAAATACTCGCCCAGAGACACTGGTCTGTCTTTCTCAGAAACACAAAACGGTGCCATTATGGGTGTGTGGTTGGCTGAGTGTCACCGCCTTCCCCCGACTGGGCCTGGGAGTGTCAAGCGAGCTGCTCAGAAGCAGGGCCTGCCTACCTGCAAAGTCCTTGACGTTGACGTCAGCACCCTCGCTGATGAGCTCCTTGATGCGCCGCGCATCCCCCCGGATGGCGGCTCGGTGCAAGCGGGTCTCTCCTCGCTCGTTTCTCTTGTTCACTTTATCTTTGGTTTTTGAGGCAGAGTTGGGCGTCCCCTTCTGACACACGGTAGACTGGGAGGGGTGCTTTGGTGTTGTGTCTACTGTAGGAACCAAGGAGAAGGCAGACAGGACATTACTGCATGTGGCACTGCTTTAGGAAATCTTGAGAACCCGGGCTTTCTCGTGAGGTTTGCCCAACACCAAACACTGCCAGGACCCGCCACCCCAGTCTCAGGACCCCTGCTACCTGGGGCGTACCTGGGCTATTCGCAGACTCCTCGGCTGTCATCTGCATGAGGAGAGCCACTTGCTGGCGCTCAGAGAGGGGGTAACCAGCTCGGATCCCAGACAGCCCCATGCCAAACAGCAGCCCAGACTTGCGGGCAACAGGCTCCTTCTTGATCCTCTTCCGTTCAGGACCCTGCTTCTCTGTGCAGCAGGTGAGGGAGAAAGGGAGGGGAGACTTCATGCCAATTCGTCAAAATCCAGGTCCTTACCTAACGTAATGGAGCCCCTGCACTCCACCCGACAGCTTAAGAGAGCAACAGGAAGGCCTGCGAGAGGGAAAGGGACAGAGCTGGGAGCCTTGACGCCGCCCCACCTCTGTGAGCAGTAGCTGTGAGAGACACAGTTTCATAGGCCCTGTTGTCAGCCCATAGGGTCTAAGCGTCAGCCTCCGCCAACCATCTGCTCCCTGCAGGTGCCTCGTGCCACACATGAAAGGCAGCAGGATGGTTTAGCTCTGCTGACCTGGCCCACACTGCAGAGGTCTCTATTATACAGTGTCTGCAATTAAACTCCTTCCCAGCCCGCCTCCAAACAAACAGTGCAGATATAAAATGGCAGACACAGTTTAAAATACATAAATAAATCAAGGCCAACTTTTCAGTACTGTACCTTTCTTCTTGCTTCTAGGAACCTCCATTTCATGCCATGGTGCTTCGAGGAGCGTACCAGCCTTGCAGTACCACAACATGGACTGAGCTGGAGGCATCTAAAGGCATCAACACAGAGCACTAACAAGATACGATGTAACAGCTCGGCTGTTCCATCTTAGCCGCCTCCTAACAAGCAAGTCCTGGGCGCCTCTGACACGTAACAAAACACCCTGCCTAGCTCTATCAAAAAGACACAGCTGCTTCTCTGAGCAGAGGTGGAGTGGGGACAAGAGACACCCCCGAATCCCTTATTCAGCAGCGCAAAGGCTTTCATGCCTCCTTGCCCAGCAGTGGCTCTCCTTTGATGGAGACAGGGTAAGCCTCTGGGTACTCAATGCCCCATGGTTTTGAGCAGGTTCAAGGTGGTTTCAGGATTTCCCATGTCTTAAGAGTGCAGGCTGCATGGTACAGGTCTGCTACAGGGAGGGAGGAACGGGTCTAAGGCTTTCCTCTGCAGTGTTTTCCTGTTCCCTTTCACTCTGAAAATCCAGGAAAATCCCTCTTTGCAAGACTGAACCGACTCCTTCAGTGAGTGGTCAGTGCCTGACCCTACAGAGATGGGCAACGGCAGAAAGATGGCCTCAGGAGACACATCTGAAGACGCCCTCACCATGGAAGGTTCTGGTCTTTCTTTGTTCGCTTGTCTCTCTGTTCAGAGCCTTCAGGCCCCACAACCATTCAATCATTCTAAGTTCTTTTTTTGTTCTTCTGTTAAGTAACTGCTACTTCTTTATAAAGTGTTTTACAACGCCTTTTTTGGGGGGTGGGGGAGGGAGACAGTCCTGAGGCTTGAACTCATGGCCCGGGCATTTTCCTTGAGGGTTTTTTGTTGTTTTTTTTTTTGCTCACTCTTTGACTTGAGCCACAGCACCACTTTGGCTTTTTGACTGTTAACTGGAGATGAGAGTCTCACAGACTTTCCTGCCCAGGCTGGCTCCAAACTGCAGTCCTCAGATCTCAGCCTTCTTCCTGGGTAGCTAGGATTACAGGTGTGAGTACCGGCTACAATGCTTTCTTAGAAACTGAACTTGTGATGTGCTGGAATGCATGCTGACGTATGCGTCGTAGCCAACAGCGACACACATCCACTTACAACTCAGGCCAACCCCTCTAAACTCTGCAAGCCACCACCAACTAGTGCTCAGAACAGTGACAGAGCGCGGTAACCTCTGTGCCCATGCCACTCTCCTTCCCTGCATCCCCACACAGGGATCTGCCAGTAGAACCAGCCACCTTCTCCTGCGGCAATGTCCACAGGGTGACAGAAAACAGACCAGGCAGCCAGGCTCTCCTCCACTTCCCTTTGGGGAAAAGCAAGCTCATTCGGACTGCATCTTCTGCTCTAGGGCCTCAGATCCCCTGGGCGCCCACAGATCTGGTCTTGGACCCAGCTCTCTCAGTGCACTCGCAGCCACAGGACTGCTCACAACAACTTGGGTGGAAATGTTGACTTCTGTATGACTCATGCCCACTTGACCCCAATGAACAAATTAAGAGACCTGCTCCCTTCCCACCTCTTACCTAGAGCAATGGAATGAATATGACAGCTGGGAAATGTGAAATTTGCGGAGAATATGATGAAGGCAGAAACTCAGTAAAATACACATCACTCTCACAAGATTAGTAATTTTAGGAGTCAAGTGAGCGAGCCAGCCTGTTTCCGAGCAGGTGGCTACTACGGTGCTGGTTCAAGGTTATTTTCAGACCTCAAAGTACCTATCTGTATGTATCGTTTAAAATAGAGTCTGTGTTGCCTTAGGCTGGACTCAAGTGACAGCCCAGCTTCAGACTCCTGAGTAACACGTTACATTTAAGGTATCAAAGGAACATAATGGAAATGGACCAGGTGGGCAGCCTAAGGTAAATGTGGTTTCCAGAAGGCCATCCCAAGACCACTGAGCTGCACTTCTTTTGCTAGCTAGCTAAGAACAGCAAATCTGGCCCAGTCCTCTGGAGCAGCTGTTGCCAAATGCTCTGACCTTGTGCCAGCGTGGGACACACAGCTGGCTTCGGGGACGGCCGTGGCTCTGTCCTGCGCCCACTTGCTGCCCGCCTGTGCTCAGCCAAGAGGACTTCCAGCTGCTCCCAATGATATTTGGGGAGCCCTGTTTTATCCCATCAGAAGAGCCTGTGTCCTGGACACACAGAAAACTCCCTAAATACCGATCCTTTGCATTCAGTAAGATGAAGCATAGCCACAGTGTGTAGCTCAAACCCTGCCTGCACCCGGAATGTCCAAAGTGCAACGGCATGGTCCCACATGGACAGCCGCCGCCTGTGCTCGCGGCCTGCTGTAAGGCAGCCACGTGCCCGTGAGTTCCACAAGGCCTATGCTGGAGGGCAGGAGCCACCCCTCGCTGCTGTGGACAACCAAGCAAGCTCGTTAGGCATTTTGCTGAATTTTGTTTTTGGTATTGAAATCGAAGCAAGGTGGAATTTATATCTATTCCAAATGGTATTTTCTAAGTTGCCAACAGTACATTGGCAGGTTCGGGAAGTAAGCCAATGTCCGTGTCCCTGTAGAGTGGCAAGTAAGGTGCAGGAATGCTTGAGAACTATGGAGGGAGGGCTGTGCAGCCCAATAGGATCCAACCCCCCTCCCCCCAAATATATTCTGCAAGCTCTGAGGATCTGGGGTGAACACCTAAGGCAGAGCACCAGAGAGAGCAAAGGATGAGAAGAAACGGGGCCACGGCCTGGTCAGCACCGGGGCCCCTCCCTGTGTACTTCCCAGTGGTCCTGCTACATGAAGAGTGGCATTTATCTTGGGTTGACGTAAGCTCAGACAGTACACCCGCCTCATCGTAAACAGCAGCACCCTGAGTTTCTGCAACATCTTTTCATTATTCTCTGTGCTGGGCTTCTTGTCAATGGGCAGCCATATCTCACCACTCAGCTAGCAAACACGTGATCCTACAAAAGGTTTCCTCTCTGGCCCACGCCAAGCTTTTTCTTGCGAAAGGGGTTGCGAGAATTCGCTTCCCGAAAGTGGGTTCATGGGAAGAAAGGCTTTTTAGCAGTGCAGCATCCTCTGGCAGTGAGCAACATGAGCTTCCCCAGGGATGACCCCTGGCAGCACGTGCAGCTCCATGTTCACAGAGGCTGCCTCCTGCCTGTGGCCTGTTCACCAACAGCATATCCTGAAACTGCCCACTTCTGACACCTCCACCATGTTGCTGACAAACGCAGCAGTGGAACTCACTAGACACTGTGTGGAAAATGAACTATGCAACTCGTGGGTGGAGATGGGAAGGAAATACTGGGAGAGAGTGAGGGAAGGGGTGACATTGTCCAAAAAGAAGTGTACTCTTTTGCCTGACTTATGTAGCGGTAACCCCCTTTTAAAATTTTTATTTTTGACAGTCTTGGGGCTTGAACTCATGGGCCTGGGCACTGTCCCTGAACTTTTTTTACTCAAGGCTAGCACTCTTATCACTTGAGCCACAGCGCTACTTGCAGCTTTTTCTGTTTGTGTGATACTGAGGAATCGACTCAGGGCTTCATGCATGCTGGCAAACACTCTACCACTGAGCTACCTTCCCAGCTAGTGGGAACCCCTTTATATAACAATTAAAAAAAAAAAAAAAAAAGCTGCCAGGTACTGGTGGCTCATGCCTGTAATCCTAGCTACTCAGGAGGCTGAGATCTGAGGATCGAGGTTCAAAACCAGCCTGGGCAGGAAACTCCGTGAGACTCTGATCTCCAATAAACCACTAGAAAACTGGAAGTAGCGCTGTGGCTCAAGTGGTAGAGTGCTAGTCTTGAGCTGAAGAGCTCAGGGACAGTGCCCAAGCCCTGAGTTCAAGCCCCATGACCCACCAAAAAAAAAAAAAAAGCCTATGACACATTTGTAGTTGCTCCTTCCCTGCTTATGGTACATCACACTTGAGGAAATGGAGGACCTCTGCGTTGCTACTGTGAAGGGTGCTCTGCCATTCTCCTTCAGAACACACTGTGCTCTGCTCTGGCATGCACTGACCAGATCCCTCCACACCTCTCACCACGCAAGCATCTCACCTTTTTCTATGCCTCAGTCTGTGACATTTCTGTAACTATAACTTCCAATTTATTCTTTTTTTATTTTGGGTTTAATACACTCTGTAGTCTAGCCGCTGAAATGTCAATTTTAGTGATAATTCATGTTCATTTCCAGGCTTTTCATATGACACACTGATAAAACCCGAGGGAAGTACTCAGGCCCTGAGTTCACGCCAGCACTGGTGAGTGAGTGTGCACGCGCGCGCACACACACTCACACCACAGCCTTTCCCCTGTGCTCTCGTGTCACCCCCTCTCACGGCACATCCCACCGGTCTGCATCTGTACCAGCTGGCCAGGTAGGGCCTCCCAGGGCAGCAGCAATCTGAGCTCTGGCACCAAGGGACACTTGTCTCGCAGAGGGTCTGCTCTGGTTCTAGTTAGGGCACACACGGCTTTTCCAGGGGTGTAAGGAAGCACAAGCACTAACACTAGCCCTACTAGAGCAGCAGCAGATTGGGTAGAAGCCTCTCATTCCTCCTCAGCAGCTCCCAACGGAGGACAGTGTTTTCCCTGATAGCCCAGTGTGCACAAAAGATGTGGCTCTCTCATAGGGACCGGGCTTCCAAAGCCCGAAACCTCAACCCTGGGGCCTGGCTCTAGGTTTGAGACATTACTTGGCCCTGGCATTGCTGAGCTACGTGCACCAAGGTGCGCTTCAAAGCATGGTGTTACATTTAACATTTTTAACTGTGGGCCTTTCTAACAAGATAATTATTTAGGATACGGAGTTCACCACATTGCCAAAACAGGAAGACCTGTAACTTCTGTGCCATCATGTTCCCTCGCAATGACAGAGAGGAGCTACTGCCTCTGGTGGGGAACTCAGAACAGCCTTTGCTCTTTGAGAAACCAGGAGTAATCAGGATCTCAGGAATGAGCACCTAACACTGAATCACTGTGTGAACACTTACATGTTGGCATGCTGAGCAAACCCTCAGATTCCAGAGACAACAGACTTGTTCAAAGGTAAAACAAGAAAAATTTTGTTTTCCTCCTTGTTCCAAAGAAGTATGTCATGTTACAGTGAAGCTCTGATTCCAGACCTTCTCTGACCTGGCAGCTCTGAAGCTGTGTCACATGTAGCCTTCTAAAGGCAGTCAGGAAGCTAAAATAGAGACATCTGTGAGGTTGCAGGAAGTTTCTGGAGGAAAATGACATATTAGGTAATAGGCTAATGTTTATATTCATTATAGACTTTGAAATTCCTGGGAAAATACACAGAATATAAAAAAGGGAGGAACTGGAGGTGTTGCTCAAGTGGCAGAGTGCTAGCCTTGCCCCTCCCCCGAAAAGCCATGGCAGAGCGATGCCCTAGTACCAACACCAACAAACAGAATAATATCATTTGAAGCAAATCTAACACATCATATAATCTCACTGTGAGTAGTTTCAGCAATAAAGCTCTTCAAACAGAGCAAACCAAGTAAGAATTGGGTAGACCCCACCCTCCTGCAGATAAGGAGGACAGAAAATGATCCAATCTGGGAAAAGGCTCTCAAGAGGGTGTGCTCTAGGGCGGAAGAGTGGTCTTCTTTGGAGGCAGCAGTCACTGGCTCTGTGCTGCTGCCTATTTTGCTATTCAGACAGCCTAGCCTACGTGTAACAGGGCTTGTCAGCCTTCCGCTGGCTGTAGAGATGGACCCTCCCTCCTGCTTCCCTTTCACCTCCAGGCAGAACAGCAGCCTGGTTCTGGACATGCTGTTGTCCAGAATTTCTGGACCATAAGGAAAATGTGCTGTGCCGCCCTCCTATTTACCTGGACAACCACCGTGTCTAGCTGCTATTCAGGTACCACACTGATGTACAACCTAAGAATGACTCATAACAGACAGAACTGTATTGTTCTTGGCAGGCTGCCCCTAGCCCTGACTAAGCACTGAGGAGGAGGCCCCACCTCCCATGGGCTGGGCTGTCCATAGCAGGGTTCAGGAAACAAGAAACTATTCCTGTGGCCATTTGGTAGCTGAGAGGAAGCTAGGCAGACTCTTGCCACTTGGGGGCACAGCTATGGAAACTTTGCTACTAGAAACCCTGAAGCTGGCTCCCTGGTAATCCCACACTCCTGGGCTCCACTGCTTCCCTCTTCCAGCAGTGAGCACCAGGCGGCATGTTCTCAGCAGAAGGCGCTGGGGATGCTGGTAGGAGTGGGATGCCTGGGATGCTTCGCTGGACCTAGCATCTGCAATGACAACTTCCCAGCAGAGCCAGGATCTGCTTTGGGTGGCTAAACCACCCTCCAAGGAGGTCTGACACTCCCCACTGCCCCGGCCCAAACCATCATTCATCAAGGTTAAAAATCATGCCGGAAGGGGTGACATTCATCAGGATGCACTGTACCTATGAACTGAACTCTGACAAATAGGTAATGTTTTAAACCACTTTCCCAGCCTCCAGAACCATGAGCCAAAATAAACCCCTTTTTAAAATTTATGTGCCACACAAATCTTGCTTGCAGCGGTAGCAGAGCACCGGTACTTTGCTCATTCACTCTTTCAGCAAGATTTCCAGAGACGGCAGGGCCACCTCAGGTCTCTTTCCAAACCCCAGAGTCACTATCCAAAAAGTGAATAACCCACTGGGAAGGCCATACACTGCTATCACCAAAAGAAGGATATCGGGTCTGGTCTGACTCTTACCTGGAGGCACAAACATGCCCCAGGGCCTTCAGGGGGCAGCCCCAGCCTCTCCCTTCTCTCAGAGCCAAAGCCTGCAGCGTTCCCTGTGTCTGCTGTCCAAAAGCACGCATGTCCACCACACTCCCACACTTCCTCCAGGCAGCCGTGCTGAAGGTGGAAATTCCCGCTCCTGCCCACCGCCTCATGACAGGAGCCATGGGAACCAGCCCACACCACCTTCTCACCCCACCCAAAGAGCAGGCCACGTTGCTGGCCTCTGACCACAGTCTCTGAGCAGTGTCTATAGGCATATTCAGGGGAGTACCATTTGGAGGAGAGGTGGGTGAAGGACCTTTGACTACTACGAAAACACAAAGGCTGCGGTTTCCTGGACTCTGCCAATAAAAGCTGTGGCACGGGGCTCATTTCTAGTGGCTCTCCTCTGTGTCACTGAGACTGCTCAATGATCCTCAGGTGCGCCTCTTGTCTTGGGGTCTCCCCCACCCCCGCATGCAGCTTCCTTCCTGAAGTCTTAGATGTCACTGGTGGAGCCCACTGCCCACAGGGCGTTCACCCCAGGCCTTACGGATGTTTTGGGTGTTGTGCTGCCCCCACCCCAAGCCTACAAAGATCTCAGATGATAGCAGGGCGGAAGGCCTTTGAGTAAGAGGATCATCCAATGGAGAAAGTAGGCACAGGCCAGCAGCAGGGCCATGGACCTCTATAAGATAGAACCAACCTGGGAGTGTACACAGTGAGGTATGCTGAGCCCCACACCTGCTTCTCAGTACACAATGAGGTGAGAGCCCCATACCAGCTTCTCAGTACCCTAAGACCACTACTCCCACACCCACTCAGGCCAACTACCGTCTGCCTCTCCCTGGCAGGACTTCCTTTGGGTCTACGACAACCAGTGGAGCAGCCGTGGGGGAAAGCACGTCTTTGCTCTGTGTGCGCTTCCTGGGGAGTGCACAGCACAGCACCCCCAACACAGCGAAGAGGAGATGGAACCTGATGGCTGGTTTCCTGTCCTTGCTGTGGCACACCCGTGGCTGCATGGGAGTTACACAGACTCCTCGTGGGTGCAGTGTGGCTGGGCTGGGCAGGGCTGGGAGGACTGGCTGAGGCCTGGTACCTGTGTCCGAGTCCTTCTGCTCTCCATTGGCCCCCGCCGTGAAGGGCAGCTTCCGCTTGGTGGCCCGCTCTCTCACCTCCTTCCCCCCATCACTGCGGTCCAGTTTTGGGGTCTTGGCTAGAGAAACTTTGTCTTTATCCTAGAAAACAAAGGGCCACATTCAGACTTTACTCCTAGATGAAGCAATCACGTCAGTTATGATTTTATTTCATGTGCCAGAAATGGGGCAGTCTGGTTTCTCTCGCCACATGTGAGGGGTCAGGCGGGCTCCAGTGGTGCCAAGGACCAGACTCTCCAGTCTGACTGTGACAGGGCCGTGGTCCTACACCTGAAGGGTTCCCCGCCAACAGCTGCTGAGGGCCACATGCTACCCCACATTGGAGGTCCTCCTCCCCCACCTACCTCCTATCCTCATCCTGGACCTGGAACACAAGGGGTCGTGGGTAGGAGAATAAGAGAAACAAGGAACAGAACTGACCATAGCCCCCACTCAAGAGTTTCTCCTGCAAGCTAAGATCCCAAGAACTCTAATTCCAGCCCCTTTCACCGGCACCTGTCTGCCTTTGTGGCAGTACTGTAGGGTGGGTACAGTGGCCACCCCTAGAGGTGGGAGTGGGCACACTCTCATATATGCTCAGGACGCAGTGCGTCCTGTGCCTCCTGAGGTTCCCTTGCCCCAAGCAAGGGCAAGGCCTGGTGGCCACAACATACATGGAAGGAAGGAAGAGCAGGAAGACCAGCTAGCTTGTGAACTCAGGTGGAGGGACCAGCTACAACAGAAGCAGCGCCTCATACCAGGGACACCTGCCTTGTGGAGCGAAGGTGAGCTCTGTGGCTGCTGCAGCCACTTTCCTAAGCGGCTGGAGGAGCTGTGCAGTAGAGGCTTGTAGAGTCTGACAGCACCTTAGACTGGGCAGCAGTGGCAAGCTGACTTCTTTGGCTTCACAGCCTACACCTAAGTGGGCTGCCCTCGCCAGTGGCCACGCACACAGCCCCAGGGAAGACAACAGAGGGGCACACAGCACACGGGTGCGGCAGCTGCCTCAGATAGGAAGGCACAGACACCAGAAAGCCCAGGGCCCCCCGAGGAGCTTTCTGAAAGTTTCCCAAGGTAAGCTACTGGCAGACACGGTGCAGGGAGTTAAGAGAGTGGCCCTCAAAGCAGCAGGCAGACACCTGTCTGCCCCTGGTCGAAGCGCAATCACTGCCCCAGGAGCCCCCACGTGACCTAGGCACTTCCTCCAACTTGAACTGATCAACTCCGTATCGACTGAACCTGGTAGCTGAGAAGCCATGCTTCAAGTGAGTATGGAGGGTCTTTCCCAAAGCATGCTGCGGGCTCAGAGCAGGGTGATGTGGCAGCCCGAGGAAGGAAGGGCCTCAGCTGTGCAGCACTCACCCCTGCCCTCCAAAGAGGCAGATGCAGGCACACCTGCCACAGCACCCCAGTCCACTGGGAGTGAGAGAGACATTCCTGCACGGTGCCTTCGCAACGCTACACAGGCACAGAGCACACACAATCTCCAGTTTGCAATTAAACACTTTTTGTAATATAGGGAGAGAAGAAGACATAATACGTATATAAATTCTTGTAGATAACAGAGAAAGAAGACATATTTTCAACTCTTTTGGTGATCCTAGCTCCAGAACTTGAGAAAGGCATTCACTGGAAATAAAATTATGAACCAACATTCCTCATGAACACAGACAAGAACTCTCCAGATAACACCCACAAACCCCATCTATCTGGATATATGAAAAGATAATGCAAATGATCCAACTGCTGGTAGCTTACACCTGCAATTCTGGCTACTTGGGAAGCAAAGAATGGAATAATCATAGTTTGAACCTAGCTTGCAAAGAAAAACTCACAAGACTTTCTCAACCCAAAGCTGGGTACAGTAGAACATGCCTGTCATTCTTGATGACAGGACTGGGAAGATGGTGGTTCTAAACCAGCCCAGGTTGAAAAGTTCATGAGAGTTCATTTCAATGGAAGGAGCTGGATGGATAGCACGTGCCCATCATCCTAACAACAGGAAGCCTGACACAGGCTGACTGAGGCCCAGGCATGTGTCTGGGGAGGAAGCAGGACTCAAAAGCTATCAGCAAGCCGGGTGCTGGTGGCTCACGCCTGTCATCCCAGCTACTCACGAGGCTGATATCTGAGGATCATGGTTCAAAGCCAGCCTGGGCAGGAAAGTCTGTGAGACTATCTCCAATAAACCACTGGAAAACTGGAAGTGGCGCTGTAGCTCAAGTGGTAGAGCGCTAGCCTTGAGCTGAAGAGCTGAGGGACAGCGCCCAGACCCAGAGTTCAACCCCAAGACTGAAAAAAGCCAGTGACGGAAGTCAGCGCTCCCGGGGACACGTCCCCAGCGTGCTCAGAGCTACTCCTACGGTGCAGGTGATGTCTGTGGAGGGAGGACAGCTAGCTAGTGTCAGAGAGGTCACTTCTGTGGGCAGCACTGGACACCCTTTGGTTCTCTAGGCCAGAATCCTCTGGAAACAGTGAAGTTGTCTGCTGGTTCCTACTGAGCCTGTTTCCAGTTTGGATATTCGATACACATTTTTTGGAAAACCTGAGAAAGTGCCCTCTCTCTAATGTACTAGTCTGAGGCAAGCAGTGTTACAGACCCACGTGCCCTGTTCCATGCCATCCACAAATAGTTCACTGAGATCACTGAAAATCACTAAAACACGTTGCTTTTGATAACATGTTGCTGTATCTGAGCACATGGTGTAACCAGTCTGGGGCCCTGCCCAGAGCAGGGGCTTCGCCATGTCTCCGAGCTTTGCCACCAACAGATCCCCTGCTCTCCCCAAAGAACAGGGACAAAAGTGATACATCAGGCACTTCCTTTTCCTTGACTCCATCCCAGGTCACCAGGAACGCTAGGAAAGCACCAATAATGCTGAGTGCCACTGCACAGAAACGTTAGCATTGCGTCTGATAGCCTTCAGGAATATATAACAACAACAACGCTAAAAACGTTAGCATTGCGTCTGATAGCCTCCAAGAATATATAACAACAACAACGTAACTAAAACACACCTACCCTGGTGGCAGAGAGCAGGAGACACCAAGTCTAATCTCCACACCTCTCACAGCCAATACGAGATGTGAATTTTGATGTGTGGTCTCAGCATGCACTGAGCTCAACCCGAGATGACGACCACAGCAGCTTGAATCCCTTGATGCTGGGACAGTGGCACTGCACCTTGGCCACTGTTGCCGATTTACTGCAACTTGGCCTTCCCCCAAGCCAAGCCCATCACTCTCCAAGCCTTTCAGACACTGCCTCCTGCACAACTTCTGAGAGCTATGCTGGGACCGTTAGTTATTTCTCTACTATCTGTTTAACTCTGTGGTTAGACTGGTTACCAAAGCAAGAGCAACATAGACAATGTCTGTGTGAGGCGGAGGCTTCCTGTTCCTGTGTATTTACTGCATTCAACCTTTGACCTCCCTGCCACCACCCTAACATTGATTGAGTCTGAGAGACCCAACTGCAAAACTGGTCTCACTCTCTTATAGACATCTTGGGGTTTTGGGGACTTCTATTTGTATCTATCATTTGGACACAAGGAGCTTTTTGTTGTTGTTGTTGCTTGTGGGGCCTGAACTCTGGGCCTGGGCGCTGTCCCTCAGCTCTTCAGCTCAAGGCTAGCGCTCTACTACTTGAGCCACAAGTGCCACTTCTGGCTTTTCTGCTTATGTGGTACCGAGGAATCGAACCCAGGGCCTCATGCATGCAAGGCAAGCACACTACCACTGAGCCACCTTCCCAGTCCACGAGGAGCTTTTGATCTTAATTAGGTAAGCAGACGGTCCCTAGAGCCAACTCCACCCTCTAGAGTTAAAAATATACCACACCTATTTCTCCAACATCTCGGGGGAATTCTGTTGGCTTTTGGAGAAACACCTGTTAGACAAGCAAGCTATCGTGTGAGCCACACACCCAGATCTTTTTGTTTTTATTTTTCAAATGGAGTCTTTGTGCTTATGCCCAGGACGACTTGGACTGCAATCCTCCTAACCAGGCTTTCTGTGTAGATGAGGTGACAGGTTTTTAGTGGTTGAGATGAGTCAGAGAACTTTTTGCCTAATTAAGTCTTGAATCTCAATCCTTCAGATTTCCACCCCTTGAGTAGCAGGGATTACAGGCACAAACCTTGATAGCTGGCTCTCTGGGAAATTCCTCAACAGGGGACCATGCTAAGCCGAGAGGCAGTGGGAGGAGCTGCAAGAGAACAGCGAGCAACCTGGCCTCCATAAACTAGGCGGCTGAGTGCTGGGACCGCGCGCCCTCAGAGCAGAGCTGCCCCCACGGACACAGGGCAGAGGCAGATGCCAGACACCTTGGTATCCGAGTCAGAGGTCACTGCCAAGGCTCAAAGACCTTACAATGAGGCAAGACAAGCCCCTGGTCTGAGTGACTACAGGGGCTGAGCTGTGTGCTCTTTCTAGGGTCAGCTTCGGTGTGGAGGTGAAGCGATGACAACAGAGCCATTTCCCTTGTCTGATGCCTGCAACTGTGTGATGTTGTAGTGTGGAGAACTATGGTTCAATCAGGAGTGGCCTGGTTGCGTCAGGCTTTCAGCTAAGAGCGGGAGTTACTAGCATACCAATGGTTTCTCTCAGCAGCCTGTTGGCCCAAGCTGCCATTTCAGGCCACACCAGCTCCATCTCATGAACTCGCACATGCCGGGCAGGACCCACCATAGACCCCAATCAGTAACAAACTCAGCACCACGGTGATGTTCATCTATCACAAGCCTTAGCCGCAGACTCGGCTGTGCGGTGGCACTATGTCACAGCACAAGACATTCCAGAAGGAGGAGCAGGTAGGTGACATACTGCCCAGACAGCCAAGGGTCTGGGGGGAGGGGGACGGGACCGCAAATCTAGTTTTTGTCTAAGGAGCTCATAAACTTATCATGACCACGAATCATTTCACTATCAACCAAAACTGACTCTCTCCTTGTTACGTTTCACATGTGGAATATCGGCTAACCCCTCCCCCCCCCAAACCAGAATATTATCAGAGATGAAGGTACAGCAGAGCACAAGCATTAGCAATAATCCAAGTGCCAGGATGGGGATAGAAAGCAGAACAGGGGCAGCATCTCAAAATGCTTGCTAGCTAGTAACTGCATCGAGGTGATGCTACCTGACGGTTACAGCATGGCTATGATGAAGTGACTGCTCCCCACCATGTGGCTGGTTCCTTCCCCACTGCACATCACAGCTCACCAGCTCAGAGGTGCTCCTGCACTACCCATCCCCACAGAGAACACGAAGCTGGGTCTGAGGGCAGCTCGTGGACTTGGTAAAGAGCAGCTGCACCAATAGCTCACAGCCAAGTGTGAAGCTGAGCTTCACTCTGTCCCAGTCCAAGCTCATCTGAGTCCACCTCAGCACTGATGACAGAATGTGCACATCCCTCAGTCTGGTATTTTCTACAGCAGTGATTAAACGATGGGGGCTTACATTTAGATTTTGTTGCCTATTACTTCTAGAAAAAACAAAACTTCGCCAGACATACAATTCATCACTTTTTATATTAGTTAACTGATGAGTCTCACTGAAACCATGACAGAAATCCTAGAATACAGAGGACAAAAATGGATAACCCAATCAAGACCGCTTCAGGGAGCCAACTACTAAAATGAACTAAAAGCTTGGCTTGAGAACATGCAACCAAGATCCTTTAGGGAGTGTGGCTCCCTGCACATCCACAAACACCACCACTATGCCTGCCAGGCGAGAGAGAGAAGGCTTCTACAAGGTCAGCCGAGAGCAGGTGGCTGAGCTGCAGTTCTAACCACAGTGAATACAATGCTTTTCCAGACCTAGTCGCAGCTCTTGGTAGTCTAGGAGAGCCCAGGCTAAGAAAGGAAAAAAGAGTCAACTAAGTTTTACCTTTTTCCCAGTTTGTTTCTCTACCATGTCGTTGCTGAGAGGAAAGTCTTCTTGCTGTGGTGTTTTAGAACACCCACCCTTGGGCATCGTTTTGCTCCCCTCGTTTGATCTTCATTTATGCTACCATCGCTTCGTCATCAACTGTCTGCTTCAAAAGAGAAAACATGAGATTAAAAATTGGTAAAGCAAAGCCAGAAGTGGAGCTGTAGCAAGTGGTAGAGCACTAGCCTTGAGTGAAACAGTTCAAGTTCAAGCTCTTAGTTCAAGACCCAGGACTAGTAATAGTAAAAACCAAAGTTGGTGAAGCCAACGAGGCAGGACAAAACCAAACTGACCAGTTGACCAGCTAAGGTGTGCAACCACTCTGACCTGGGCTGAGCAGGGCCCTGGCACCTCGGAGGCAAGCTCCCAGGGTTACTGACAGCGCAGAGTGACAGGGACAAAGTAGATCAAGGAGGCCAAACCCTGCCAGTGCCTGGTCTTAGGCCCCTTTGGCGAGAACACCACCACTGGTGGAGAGGGCTGAATGGGTCCTAGGGGCTCTGCCTCTGCTGTTCCCGACAAGGCTACATGAACACCTTCACCCTCAGGTCGGGTGGATCCTGAGTTTGAGGCTTGCCGCTCAGCCACGTAGAGTCAGCTACTGCCCTTCACACACCCAGGTAGAAGGCAGGAGGAAAACTCTGCTTTTCACAAGGCACCAAGCACACCTAACTAACTCTACAACTTCTTTCAGGTGAATGTCCAGATGGCAAGCACAAGCATACGATGCTTTGAGGAAGGCCTCAAGGTCTCCGTCTATGCCTGCAGCTCCAGACTCTTCTTGAGCTAGAAGCTCTGCTTCATGTTTCCCAGGAAATCTGAAGATATGCACTGCATTGAACATTTTGGCATCTAAACACTTGCTGGTCAGGGGTCATTTCTTAAGAGTTAGACAAGGGTTCACCTACAAATGAACCCTTTTGTCTATACTTTATACACAAGCCAACCATTCCTTGCTAACCACCAAGTAACTAGAAAAATATTTCTCTGGCACAAAACCTGAAAGGATTTCAAACTAGCCCATTGCTCCTGAGCCATCTGTCCTGCCCTGCCTCCTGACCACTAGAGTACAGCAGGCTTCCATCCTTCTGTCCAGCCTCCTTCTAGTCTCTTCTCTCTCAGTATGATTTATCTGCACCCTAGCTTTTCAGTAGCACTGATAGGAGGACCAAGGAGAAACATGTCTGATTTATCTTTTTTGTAACCTCTAGGCTCCACACACGCATATACACACATGCACGCACGTGTGCGCGCGCGCACACACATGCACACACGCACATTCACACCCTGTACTCTCTTCCCTTGGCAACATACCATGCTGCATGAAGCACCAATTCAACCGTGTTCTGTACTGTAGCCCTACTTCTCTGCTTCTCTCTTCAAGGTCACACTGAGAGTCGTTTCTCACGTCCCCAGGCCCTGCCGTGAAACTGCAGGACCCTTCTTTCTACATAACATCATCTTAAGATCTTGCCCTGTTTTTCAACAGTAATGGATAAAACCTGCTTTTGGTATCTAGCATAAGAACACGTGTAAAGGTATTTTGGGGAGAGGGATAAAGCAGTCAAGACATTCATTTCCACTGGGAGCTGGTGATTCATGCCTGTAATATTAGCTACCCAGGAGGCTGAGATCTGAGGATTACAGTTCAAAGCCAGCCTGGGCAGGAAAGTCCCAAGACTCTTATCCCCAATTAACCACCAGAAAACTGGGAAGTGGTGTTGTGGCTCAAAGTGGTAGAGCTCAAGCCTTAAATAAAGGAGTGCAGGGACAGTGCCCAGGCCCTAAGTTCAAACCCCATACCCAACTCCTTTCTACTCTCTGACCAAAAAAAAAAAAAAAGAAAGAAAAAAGACATTCACTTCCTACTGTCTCTCCAATAATGCCAGAGAGCAGTATACCTCCATCCATGTGGGTATGTTTTCTCTACCTAGAACTGTGATCTCTACATTATGCAATTTCCCCCACAAAAGTGGGCTGTCTTCAGAGGTAGAGTGTGGCTCAGATAGTAGACTGCTGGCCTGGGAAACACAAGACACTGAGTGGGCAGGGGCAGAGAGGTTCTCATTGGAACTGCGGCTTTGTGTGAGATGGGTACAAATTTAAAGATGATTAGGTTTTGAGGGGTAGGAACTCAGGAGGTGAAGGGGATATGATTGTAGTATTCCTTTTATATATCTTTTATATATATATATATATATATGAAAACAAATAATGAAAGCCATTAAAATTGTTGTAAAGGGGAGACAGGATAAGAAACAATAATGGAGGAGGTAAATTTGATCAGATACATTAATTATATGCATAATACCTTTGTACAATAAGTATATGTTAATAAAAGGAAAACTATTAAATTTTATTTAAAAATAGAATAGCTGGCTGGGTGGGTGCCAGTGTCTATATTCTAGCTACTCATAAGGCTGAGATTTGGGGACTACATTTTGAAGCCAGCCCAGGCAGGAAAGTGGAACTCTTATCTCCAATTAACTTTAAAAAAAGCCAGAAGTAGCGCTGTGGCTCAAATGGTAGAGCACTAGACTTGAGAAAAAAAAAAGCTCAGGGACAGCACCCATGTCGTGAGTTCAAGCCCTAGAACTGACACACACACACACACACACACCCCTTGCCTATCCACTCATCGTAAATAAAACGAACGAGCAGCTTCCAGGGGAACGCCCTGCTGCAGCTGTGTCTGTGGACGCTGCACAGAGGGACAGTGGCGCTGAAGCCCCAACAAGGACCTCATGCGGGCCAGGCAAGCCCTGTGCCACGGAGCCACACCCCACCCCTAGTGGTCGACTAAACACAAAGCAGTATCACCAGGAAGAAAAGGGCAGTCGCACTCCTGAATTTTTTCCTTTTTTCGGTACTGGATACCTTTCTTTCATTTTAATTTTTTTTCTTGAGCTGATCTTCCACTTCCTGCTTTTTGCTGGTTAATTGGAGATTTTTCTGCCTGGGCAGGCTTTGAACAGCAACACTCAGATCTCAGCTCGCAAGCGGTGAGATTACAGGTGGGAGCCACCAGAGACCAACTGACTGGATCTGAGGTCTGGCAAGATGGGACGTGAAAGCCCACGCAGGTGAGCTGGGCCACTCTGCTCTGTGGAGGATGCAGAGGCCTCCTTACCTCAGACGCTATCTACCACAGCTTCTGGCTCATTACCTCCCGACACCAAGAGTTCTCTTCCCTCAAAGACACAGAAAAGTAGCTTCCCAGCACTGCACAAGAAGAGAGTCCAGAAAACCAGGAGTCTGTGGAGAAGGTCTTCAAAAACAGAAAAATGCCTGGGCACTGGTGCAACCCACAGGAAAAGGCACTGCAGTGGATGTCCCCACAAGGCAGGGGCACCACGTCCACACGTGAGGAAAAGCGCTGTCCAACCCTGCTGGCATATAGAGTCTGGGGACAACGTCCAGGTGGAGGTGGCTGAAGGGTGGCTGGGACCTCGCCACGTCCATCTATGTGCACTGCCAGCAAAGGAAGCCCTACCAGCCCCAGGGAACCTGTTATAAGATTACTGCAGCCAGAGAAAGAGCAGAGCCATCAGGACAAGAAGCCTAGTACTAACAAAACATACAAAGCCAAGACTGAGAATCCAGGACTCTGAAACTCCCAAATGAATTCATTCAGAAACTTAGGAAAAGCTTTGGAACCACAAAAAGAAGATGGAGGCAACTAAATAGTAGGAATAAGTCCTGAAAAAAAATCCACTTAGAGAAGGAAAGATCCAGAACCTGGCAAATGGGAGAAAACACGAGTACTAGAGCCAACCTCCGAGAGGCCCAAAATTCAGAGAGGCAAAGATACATGAGGAAGCCAATCGCAGGACAGAACTGTCAGGGAGGAGGGCAGATCATATGGAAGCAAGAATTTTAAATGCCCAGGTAGCTACCATTAGAATTTGGAGAAAACTAATTGCAGACTGAACTACTAAATTTGGTCTTATCATTGAGAATAAGCACAAATAAAGACATTTTCAACATTCAGAAAATATGCAGAAACAGGCAATGGGCAGGAAGGGGAGAGGAGGGGAGAAGGAGGAGAGAGGAGGGGAAGGGGGAGGGGAGATACAGAAAACCACCATGAGCCCCAGTGCCTTTCCTGCGGGATGATGTGTGGTCCTACTGGCATAGGTCAATGGAATGAAGCCAAGCCAGATCTAGCTTGCTTCCTGTGTGTACACACCCCAAGAAGAATAGGTTTTACAATTTAATGGGCTTAAGGAAAGTGAAAAAATAAGTCAAATGAAGGCTAGTGTTTTGTGAAACTTAAAAACAGGATGGAATTAGAACTTCTGTATCCATAAAGTTTTTTTTTGTTTGTTTTGTTGGTCATGGGGCTTGAACTCTGGGCCTGGGTGCTGTCCCTCAGCTCTTCAGCTCAAGGCTAGCACTCTACCACTTGAGCCATAGCGCCACTTCTGGTTTTCTGGTGGTTCATTGGAGGGAAGAATCTCACAGACTTTCCTGCCCAGGCTGGCTTTGAACTGCAGTCCTCAAGTCTCAGCCTCCTGAGTAGCTAGGATAGATAATAGGCATGAGCCACCAGTGTCCAGCTTCCATAAAGTTTTAATTAAAGGAATGCAGCTAGCAGGATATCAGTGGTTCACATCTGTAATCCTATTTACTTAGGAAGCAGAGAGCTGAAGGTCATGGCTCAAAGGTAGATCGGGCAGGAAAGTCTGGTGAGACTCTTATCTCCAATTAACCATTAAAATGGGAGGCAGGAGTGTAGCTCAAGTTGCAGAGCAAAGGGGAAGTGCCCAGCCCTATATTCAAATCCCACTACTGGCACAATAAAATAAAATAAAATGGATGCAGCCAATCTGCTCATTTTAACTTTTTTTTTTTTTTTGGGGGGGGGGGGGTGCGTCACTTGTAGTGTTGGGGATTGAGCCCTAGATCTAGTGCATGTAAAACACATGCTACACCAGTAAGCTACAGCTCCAACTCCATTCATGTTCTTGTCTGGCCATCTTCACTGCAAGGGTTATGAAGTTCAATGTATACCCTCTCTGGTCCTTTTTGAGTTTGCTGTGCCCTTCACTGGCACAGTGGTTCTCAGGGGTTTTTTGGTTTTTTTTTTGGGGGGTCCGGTCATGG